GCAAAGCTGTTAAGGAACTTTTTTCCTTTAAACAGATTAAAAACAAAAACATTAGGAAGTACATTCAGCTACATATCTTCTATTTCTCAAGATAGCATAGTGGTACAATATTTAATGGACAAAAACTGAAAATGAAAAATCATGACAGTTTGATATTTCGGGGAAATTAGTAAGACAAATAAGATCTTGCACAGATGGTTTTGAAATACAAATAATAACTTTGCACTTTTTTTCTGTAATTCTATTATTACATATAATTTGGAATTTTTTTTGTATTGATAAATATGAGAAGAATCTTTTTGACTTTACCTAACTGAATGTTTGGCAAAGTGCCAAAGTAAAACATTTAAAATTAAATTCTTAACATAAAATGATACTAATCTTAAATTATAATCACATTCACATACTTTTTATCATAGAAAAGAAAATTAAAATTTACTGGAAACACCAAATGGAAAAACATGACAAGGATATAAAAATTGCAATAAATTAAAAAAAAAATTAAGTTCATCACCTTTTCTCTCTCCAGAAACAAATAAATAAATATCAAGTATATACACCATAACTATCTGAATATTAAATTTAATAATCTTTTCGATTGTTGCACATATCACACAAACATAACAGTTCCAATGAAGTGCCACGAGACTAAACGTTTGGAGACCTCTTTAATAAACTTGTTCAAATTCTATAACTAATATGAATCAAATCAAATGTAGCCATGGCAGCCTTCAAATGTATTACTACTTACTATCAATTGTTAAGTTTACAAGATTTTTTAAAACATTATATTTCAATATTAACATTGTAAGGATGCCATAGCTTTAGTTAAAAATATGAACTCACTTTGTGCGCTGCGTGTTTCTCCTCGATAGGAGGCAGCTTGCTTCATCATCCTCATGCCGACCATTGTTGGCCCAAGTTCCAGCGGCCACATCCAAGAGGCAGTTAAAAAACGACGAGCGCTGGTGCAAACAAACTCAGGCTCAAGCCAGATATACTATGTCAGATCAGTTATATAAAATTTTTAACTTGCGTTTTAATGCTAGTATGGGTGCAAAAATATCTAAATTATCCTTCTGAAGTTGGTTTGCTTAAATATTTTTGCATTTTTGTTTAGTTGTAGACAATATACTCCTCATTTTAATGCTTTTTTTTGTCATTGATACAAAATACAAAAAATAAATAAATAAAAAATCCATATAACAATGCGAATAGCATTCCAAAGACAATCCTGCAATAAAAAATACCTATTTGAAACTGCCTCTGATCGAGTTGCTCTTTTCAACTATATTCCTACAAAGTAACTGAAAATATTTAAAATTTATTATAAACAGCAAATCACTATAAAAAAACACTTAGTTCGAGTTTTTTTCCCTGAAAGTGTTTAAGTTTTTTGTATGTAAAAAGTGTAAACATTTCTCCCTCCTCTCCTCCCATAATGGAATGTATAAAATTAAATATATAACTTTTTTCAATTCAATGATCCCCGTTTTTTTCACTAATAACTAAAAATAAAATTTATAGATAGAAGCAGTGTTAAAAAAATTAAATTCAAAGTGCAGATATTTTAGAAGAATAAGTTATATGTCATTTTTATGTTAATAAAATAAACAAGAATGTATTATGTCTGTTTAAATGTGAGAGAAAATTCGGTTTTTTTTTCTGGTATATAAATGTCAAGGCTAAAAGGCCATCTATATTTATATTGTGAAAAAATAAATAAACAGAAAGAGAATAAATAAATAAATAAAGAAAAGGACAAAAAATGAAAAAGAAACTAAAAGAACTTCTGGCAAATTTAAATTATTATTTTGTGCTAAGTGCAATTAACATGCAAGAACCTAGAATTTAACAAACATTCCAAATATTATTATGCAAATACATTAACCAAATGTATCATGCATTGTGCAAAAAACCAAAGCATGAATTAATAATAATTTAGAGAAAGCAGAATAAAATAAGTTTTAAAAAGAATACAAATTTAATTAATAAAAACAAAATATTTGTCTTCTGCACTTTATTTTTTGGTGTAATAGGTTAAACCGACCCTTGGCAAAGCAAACTTACATTCTTATTTATTAGAGCACTAACGTTTTCATTGATAAATTATTAATAATTGTACCAGAGAGTTAGGCAGTTTATTAAATGTTTGCTCTTTATTTGTAAACATGCTTTATTTTTAACATTCATTAAAAAAAAATCTATCCTAAAATCTATTTAAATTTCCCATAAATTGTGCTTAATGAGGAGCATCTCAAAAAATCATTTTATTAAAATCTAAAATGAAAAAATGGATGAAATAATGCAGAGTAAATATTAATATGCAAATAGCACCTGAGGCATCTATTATATAATTAATTTGAAAACTATGAATCAGATATTGATAATAAATAAAATTGGAAATAAAGGGTGTCAAAGGTAGAGACTTAATTTGAAATATCCAAAGAGATATAGGCAAAAGATGTTTATATCTGATTCATTAATTGAGTGCTGCAAAGTTTCTCTATTAAGCATTGATAAAAATTGTAACGCAACAAATTCAACTACGAAATATTTTGAATGAGGAAGAATAGACTGTTTATAACATAATACTACCGCCTCATTAGGGTTGGAGGGACTATGTCGACTGAAACCCTGAAACCAAAGATACAAGTTACTTATATCATCCGCGTTCTCTTTCAACCTACTAATTCCACTGCTACAAATCATTATTCATTCACCTACATAATATTCATGAATAAAGGCAAAAGTGTCTGTAAGACATATATGAAGGACAAATGAATTCTCAATGGATACTTCAAGCACAATGAATTATTGTAATTAAAATATTTCCACGAACATGGGGTATTAAATGGACAAAAATAAATAATGTATAGGTACGTTAATATCTTATTATGAGCATATTGTATTTTTGGCTTGAATTTTATTATGGTCATTATATTTCATTTTAGTGCAAAATAGTGTTTGTTTTTTATCTTTCTAAATATAAGAAACAAACTATTTGTTATTAAGTCAGTAATAAAGGTTCATGAAGGAAAAAAAAAATATTGACCCTATTCGAAAAATCTAACATTAGAAAAATAATTCATTTTGTCAACAGGATTAAATTCTTGACTAATGAAGAATTATCTATTATTTATTTATGTTGATGCATTTCTAATTGAAATTTATCAATATTTTAACTAAATGTACAATGCTTTATTTTTCTCTAATCTATTTTCTATAGGGTAAATATATCCTTCAATTTGAACTTCTATGTGGGAAACTATTATCTAAATGTGCTATTAATTACATCATTCTATCTTTTTTATCCTCATGAACTTCTAAAATATAGTTTTACTAAACACAGTAGAATCTCGATATTTCTTATCCCCAAGGGTTTGAGAAATGAATAATAATTATAAAGATATTCAACTGAATAGGATTTTGAAATATTGGGTAAAAAACTATAAATTTGTTAAAATAAGATTATAAATAGATAGAGTACATATAAAATTTGATTTTTTTAAGAAACCAATCCATTTTACGATATTTTAAAAGCAAGATGTTCTTGTTCTGTTGATCTCTAAGGCAAATTGGTCAATAAGTAAGGAATTTGCACTGGGGATGTGGGATTGTTGGAAAAATATAGAAATTATGCAAGGAAGTTAAAATTATTAATAAAGACGTGCATAAATAAATATTATCTGTTGTTTTGGTTATCTGAAACTGCAGTTGCTCCAGTTAATGAAGAGAATGATGATGAAACAGAAATTGTATCTAGAAGGGTAAAAGTTCTTGATGTAGCAGTTGAAAAGAAAACTCCTAAGAGATGTTACTTTTTACTTTCTTTTTCTCTAAAGTAGTTTAAAAGTTCACTAATCTGATATTCAACTTTATAAAAATGTTCAGTATTTGAACTCATAGCCTGAAGTTCCAACAAAATTTTGAAAAACATAGCAGCTAATCTATGTAGCATGAATTTCTTTATCACTTTTTTATTTATTTTCTCTTCTTTCTCTTCCAAATGCTGTATTGCTTCAAATTATATCAAACTCTCATTCATCAGCTCTACATCAGCATAATCTTCTAATTCATCAATAATACATTTTCGCTGCCTAGTTCTTGGCTTCAAATCTTTTGGATAATTTTACCACATCTTTCACTTAAACTTTATTTAATATTCATTTAAAATCATTGAAAATTTCAAGTAATATATCACCATAGGGATTGAAATTCAATTTATTTAAGTGCAAACGACCGTTATGCAGATAGGACATAAAAGTAGACGTGACTGCATGTATTTAACTTACTAATTTACCTGTTCTTTACAAGATAGAGATAATTTGCATGGATAAAGGGACTTTTCATGAATTAGTGAGATATATGAATTACCAGGATTCCACTGTATTAATAAAATCAAGAATTTATTAAACCATGTTCGTAATTTTTTTTTTTTACACCTTGTTTTATGTAATTATGCTAAAAATATATTGTCAGTTAAGAATTACTAGTCTCAACGAGAAATATACAAAATCAAATAAAAATAAATAAATAAAATGAAAAAAAAAATGGTAAGACAACACATTTCAAGAAATATAGCTAAAGATTCATAAGTACTAATTAATATACATAAATACATAAAAAACTATGATAAACTAAGCCATTTTTCAGGAAAATGGTATAAACCAAAAAAAAAAAAAAAAGAAAAATATTTTACAGGGAATGACTGATAAAAATGGTTTAGATACTTATTCAGGGATTAAATTAGAAATTCACAAGAAACGAAAAAAAAATATCAAAAACACTTACATGGAAGTTCATCAGATAATCTCATTAAATTAATAATTTCAGGGGAAAATATTGCATTTCCCACTGGAATAGTGATAAGCAGTTCTTTGTGATAAGCACTATAATTTGTTTAATTGTAATGAACATGTGATTTCAACTGTTGAACTGATTCGTAAATAATAACCACACTTTTAAAAGACATATTGATTAAGTTTAAGTTCACTCACGGGAGCACCAGATGCCTCAATCTGCCCAAACCTGGTTGTTCTCCAGCTTTCCAAAATGAGCAAAGCACCATAAATTTTACCAACTGTTATTTTGCCTTTTCCAAGTTCTAAAAATAAATTTATAAGCACTATTAATACATTAAAAGCAACAATTGCAAGTAAAAAGATTTTTCAGTTAGAATAATGGAAAGATTTTAAATTAAACATATTTATTCAAAGCAATTGAAAAAATCAATTAATTGGTATACCAATTGAAACACTAAGCAATTTCAATATCAATGTTATATACCAACCAACAATTGAAACAAAATTTGCATTTTCTTTTTCAAAACACTATAAAAGGAAATATAACAAATAATGGTTTGTTATTTAAAACATTATACATCAAAACACATTAAATTCTTTAATCCAGAACTTTTATAACTTTAACAGGCTTTGATTAATCAGTTAGTTGTCAAAGAACACGGTTTAAAACAGTTAGAATCACAGATTAATTATATTTTGTAAACAAAACAAATTTATTGTTAATAAATTTTTTCAGTAATTTTTTTTTCTCAGAAATTAGTATTGAGGTCTAATTGAATGCAACCTCAGAATATAACTTTTCATAGTGCAGATGGGCAATAGTGGATAGTTGATCGCTATTGTTAGTTTGATACCATCTATCAAAAACTATCAATAGTACGGATAGTCCAGTAAGTTTCTGACACTTACTTCTTTTTCAGGAGGATTTCTTTTTGCTAAATTGTTTAGGTACTTAAAAAATATTGAGTAAACTTTATCTTAAAAAGATTAATTTCCATTATGTATTTTTTCTTCTAAGTAGCTCAGTGGTCCAGCTTCCAATACTTAAGGTCTTATATTCGAATCCCGACTCTTGGCAGAAAAATTATTTATTCTGTTTCATTGGCGATGGGGCGATCCTGGATAGGTAGACTTCTCTGGGGCATACCCAGCCTCTATAAACTGGGTACTCTTAATTAAAATAATTAATTAAGGGGAAAACCTAGCTGTTGAGCGTGATCTCGGTCAAATCACCTCCTTGCACAACCGTATACCATGAAACAGTGCCCTAAATAGTACTGAACCCAAGATCTTTCATGAGTTGTAACAGGTTTTTTTTTTTTATAAAGTATTACAGAAGATCTATGTTGGTGTGGATACTAAAAAGTAAATAACCTATTGACAAATTTTATCAGAACAATATATGTATGTAGGAAAATTACTATGAATTTCAAATAAATAAATAATGTTGTTTATACTATTAGACCCAAAAGAGGAGAGCTACAAGGTGGAAAACCTCCATCACAAAAAGATAAATAAATAAATTTTTATAACATTAGGCCAGTTTCGTTTTATGAATGATCTAAGACAAAAACTTGAACAATCACAGTATATTTATCTTAAAATCATAATGCTTAGCAAAGAAAGCTTTGTTAATGTAGGCCTACAATTAAATTTTATTTCCAGGAACTCTCTTTTGGAATAAGGTATCTCTATTCCCAGACCCTTCTCAAATTTAAATTATTGATCTAATCCTGATTGAATTACTTGAAAAAAAGAAAAATCTGGCATGGTGCACACATCACACATCTTCCACTAACTCTAACCACTAGTATCAGAGTAGAATTATGTATTTTCTAATATCGGAAAGTTAAAGTAAAACAGCGATCTAACTTCATTTAAAACAATTAATTACTATGTTTTTCCCACCAATAAAATCTCCTTCCCATCACTTTCTATTTCCTTTTAGGATAACATATAAAATCTAACAATACAAAAGAGTATGAAGGAAAATGGATCTTTTAGAAAAATTTTTAGTTTTATCAGTTTATTTATTGGTATAGTATGAGTTATTTAAGAAGAAAACAGAATAAACTTCACTTCTTCAATGTCTAAGTGGTCCAAAGAGGAGTTACAAGTTATTTTTCAAGAAAAGATATTCTAGGAGATATATAATATCTCAATAAGCTTAAAGTATTAAAAAAAAAATCTAAGGATAAAAAACAAAACAAAAAACTACCTTCGTTTCTTGGGATAAGCAAATCCAACATTTTCTTTGCCTGCAGTGGCCAAATGCTCCTCACTGTATCACGGAGTTCCTCATCTGCTTGGTCCATTTCTTCCGCTAAATACACCATTAAATAAAGTATTAATGTCAGTTGATAAAATATATATATATATATATATATATATATATATATATATATATATATATATATATATATACATATATATATAAAATTAAAAACTCTTTATTTCTTATTCACTAGCTAATAAACAAGATGATTACCGCTTCTCATTTTTATACTAAGATTTTCACGGATTAATGCAAATAAGGTCGTGGTGAAGTTCACTTTTCCATCAGAATCAACAGGCATGTTCATTCTTATTAATTTTTTATATGCCAGTCTATTCGGGCATTTATTTCCAAACCCAAGAGGTGGGTCTATATTTTTCAGCATATCATACATTTCAGTATAATGAATTTTACCCCTAAAACATTAGCAGCAATTAGTATAAATTCTACAATAAGCACATAAAATGTGTAGTGAAAAAGATATATATTAAAAAATATTTAGCAACATTGGTTTCTTTCTTTCTACTGTAAACAGATCAGTAGTGTTCAGGTTCAGAGGGTCTATCGGTCCCTAATTGCAATTTGTAAGAGAATACATAATAATTTTTTTTTTTTTTTTTTTTCGTTAAAGATATTTTATCAGGAGCCAAATCAGTTGAAGTCAGATACCAAATTAAACTAACAAACAGATACCAAATTAAAATAATTGACAAATATCTTTGTATTTTGAACAGAACTTAAGAAGTATACCACTAGATCCAAAATAAATAAAGAAATAAATTAGTTAATTGTAATCTGTTTAATGAAACATCTTTAATTACAGGTTTTCTGTTTGATTGATATTTCAGTGTGCAAATAAAATCTCATTGAATTTGTGACATTACTTACGTAGTGTAGTTATGTATCTAAATACTTATGAATATCTTCTTCTTCTTTTGCCACCTCCTTAGTGCCATTTGCATGGAGGAATGAACAGCCTCGGCCCATCTCGTTCATTGATCCCTGTCACTGACCCTCCTTCTCATATCCCCCTATGAGAAGGTGTTGCCTCCGGCTCGCCTGAGTCTCTCCATGTAATATCAATACAACAGTCTGGCCCTGCCTCTGGGCTTCGCTTCTATGAGCCATTTTGTCTTTCGGTTATCACCCATCCAGTATACATTGCCAGACCACTTCAGTAAGCGCTTCTCTATTACATGTTTTATAGGTTTTACATTCAGTTCTTCTCTTATCCCTTTGTTTCTTCAGCGGTCTCTTTGTATTTTCCCAAGAACTTTCTTGAGGTATCTCATTTATATGGCCATTACTTTGCTTACATGTTTGTCTAGGACCGTCCAACTCTCTGCATCATACAAAAGGACAGGCAAAAATACTGTTTTAAACAAAGTTATTTTGGTTTTCTTCTTTATCTCCTTTTTCCCAAATATTGTAGTGCAGATGGAGTAAAACATACCATTGGCATTCTTGACTCTATTTAAAATCTCCTGGTTGATCCTTCCGTCCCTGCTGAAAATCGTGCCTAAATACCGGTAGTTATCTACGTTTTCTAACTAACTGATCACTATTACATGTTATGAGAACTTAGTCTTCCACATCTCAGCCGATGAGCATAAGCTTACTTTTTGTAGGGTTCATTTCCATCCCCATCCTCTGGATCACTTCCGACCATTCATTGATTGCCATCTAAAGCCTTTCTTGGGTGTCAGCAATTAGGACCATGTCATCTGCATATAGGAAAGCTTGTGATTGCACAGGAATTAAATTCCAGTACCCCACTGTTACTCTGGTGTCTTTCGCTTACACACCTTCCATACTTCATCCAAGCACCTAATGAATAGTAGTGAGCTTAGGTTATCACTTTGCTTGACGCCCTTATAAAACCTAAATGGCTCTTATTCAGATCCATTAAGCTGCACTATTTCCTTGGGATCCTGGTATACCGATTTGATTGTGCGGATGAGATTGGATGGCACCCGTTTTTCCTGTACAGCATTCCAGATCTTTTGGTGAGGAATCAAATCAAATGCAGCCTTCAAGTTCAGGAATGACAAAAATAGCTTTGTTCCTCTATCTTATGCTTTCTCCACAACTATTCTTAATGAGAAAATAGGATCCTGGGTATGCCTCTCTAGTCTAAAGATAGCCTGCTCCTCTTCCAGACAATCTCCTAAGCCTCTGTTCCAATATTCTTCTACATAATTTATTTACTACAGAGGATAGGAATATTGGTCTATAATGCTAGCATTTTATGTGGTTTCTTTCTTGAAAATTGGAATTATAATATTATTTTCCCAGTCCTGGGGTATTTTCTTTTGCGACCAGATCTTTTGAAAAGATATTCTGGAGACACTTGACCATTTCTTCACCTCCATACTTTTATGAATTCTGGCATAATATTATATCTGCCTGCTGCTTTGCCCAATTTTATTTTTTTCATAGACAATACAATCTCAACTTCCTCTATAACAGCATCCTCACTATTCTCATTTCTCCCTGCCTGGTTTTCATGGATTGTTGGTGAGGACCCATAGAAGGATGGCCATCATATTGACCAGAATATTGGCTGTATTCCTGGAGGGAAAAGGTACTCTGGTAATGTTTTTGCCATACTTTAAGAATTTCATTTTCATTTGACACAAAATTACCATTATTGTCTTGGATGCTTCGTACTTATTTCCCCTCCTTCTCTCTTAGTCTATTTACAAAACTCCAAAACTTTGGATAACGGAAATATTGGATCTCCTATCCAAATTCCTCCCAAGATCTTGCCTTGGCTTCTCTGTTTATTTGATTGGCCATGTTTCTAAACCTGACATATTCATCCCAACAAGCTTGGGATTATGAATATTTTAATGATAAATATTCAATTTGGACAAAGAGATAATTTTAATTTAGAAATTTGATCCAATATTAAGATATCAAAATTAGAACCATCAATGCTACAAGAAGACAAAGCTTTTGTGGACTAGCTAACATTTCAGGAAAAGCATGAGTTTATTTTATAATAATAACATGAGTTTATTTTATAACAAACAAAACTAAAATAAAATACTTACGTAGCATTAGGATCATATTCTGCCCATATTCTAACAAACTCATCCAAATGGTGGGCCCCCAAAATGGATGAGTCCCTTGTTAAATAATCAAAATTGTCCATTATAACAGCAACAAAAAGATTTAGCATCTACAAAAAAATAAAATAAAATCAATAAAAATGGTGTGAGTGAAATATTCCAATATAAATAAAAATAATTTATAAACAAATAACTTACAAGGAATGAACAGAAAAATATAAATGAAACAAAGTAAGCATAAGCAAGACTTGAGCCACATTCATTTCCAGTCTTTCCACTTTTAGCATCACAAGGTTTATTTTTCACACATGATAACATTATCGAAGGCCATGCTTCTCCCGTCGCACACCTGTTGCATATAAAAGTATTAATATTAATATATAATAAATAATATTAAAATGGTTACATAAATTATTGAAATAAATAAAACAAATTTATTTAATACTACAATAATTCATGCCAAAAAAAATATATTTGAAAAAATGTGAGAATATACCCATACATGAAATAAATATATATATATTAATTATTTAAATAAACTTTTTTACTAATAAATACAAAAAGTTATAAATTAGTGATTATGCACCAAGAACAAAAAATTGTATGTTGATCATAGTAATGGAAAAATAAATGGAAAACTTTAAGAATCTGATACTTAAAAAAAAAAAAAACAATTCTTGTTTAAAATTGTTAGGATTAATATCAAATGGAAGATAAAATCATTAATCATATAGAGCCTTATATGAATATTATTTCATAATTTATGTATTATTTTAATTAGTATTTGAGGCTGTTATGGATATTACCTCTGGTATGAGTGATTGTCAATGATGAAGACCATTTTCATTATTTCCTTTGGATTCCAAAAATCTATTAATTATATATTTTCACAAATCATGAAATATTAATTATCATGAATTTCCATTTTTAATAGAGATGATGTGAAATGAGGTATCAAACAACAAGAAATAGAAACATCCAAAAGTGTAGCACAAACCTTATAGTGGTAATTTTCTTCCTCTTGGTATAAATTCTTTTAGAGGCGGAAATTAGATAAGTTTCTGCACAAAATGTACAGAGAATTTGGATTTTAGTCAAATAAAATCTTTTGGGCACTTTATACAATCTTCTTTTAGTGGATAGCTCTTCAACCTCAATTTTTTTGTATTGATTTACTTACTTCCTGCATGGCGTTATGGTCCGTTAAGAAGCAAAGCCTCCTCCAATATCCTACTCCATTCTACTTTATCTGTTGCTTTAGTTCGCCATTGCCTGATGTTTGGCTGGCGGAGGGCCTCTTCCACGTTGTCCACCCATCGTTTACGAGGCTTACCTCCCCTTTGTAAGCCACCAGGATGACCGTGCAGCATTTGCCTAGGCAATCTCGACAGGCATCCTTTCGACATGTCCAAACCAGCCCAATCTTCTTTTCATTACGACATTAAGTATGTCCGCTTCTGGGAATAGTTTTTTCAGCTCGGAAATCGATCTCCCTCTAAACCCATGGTCCTCTCGCACAGAGCCAAATATCCTTCTTAGAACTCTTCTCTGCCATGTCCTTAGCCTTTTCTTGTTAGCTGCTGTTATAACCCAGGTTTCACTGCTGTAAGTTACTGTGGGCCTAATTATAGTCTTATGAACCAATACCTTGGCTTTTCTTGAGAGATTTTTATAAACCAGGGTAGAGCACATTGCTTATAGAAACTCCCAGCAGCAACTCGAGCCTTTATGTCCTCTGTCATTTCGCTTTTTCTCGTAACAATTCCACTGAGATACTTGAAGGACCTGCATGCTGTGAAGTGGTGCTCCCCTATCTTAAACTCTTCTTCCTTGAAAATACCATCTCTAGTGGTCTTCATGTATTTCGTTTTTTTCTTAATTTATAACCAGGCCCAATTTATTAGCAGCTGTTTCAAACTCTTATAGTGCCCCTATTAGTGCCGGTAATGATGATGCCGATATCACTACATCATCGGCATAGGCCATATGTTGGGTTAATCTGTTATAAATGTTTCCTCCTGGATTTGTTTTAATTTTTCTAATAGCATATTCTAAGGCTAGGTTAAAAAGTATGGGGAAAAGAAGATCTCCTTGACGTAGTCCACGTTCCACTTTGAACACATTAGATATTTGCGAATGGTCTTTCACTATGCATTTAGTTTCATTCAACGTCATTTTAATAAGTCTTAATAAGCTTTTCGTACATGTTCATCTTGCCCAGAGTCATTAGCATTTGCTTCCACTCAATGCAGTTGTATGCTTGCTTAAAGTCTATAAATAGGTGGTGAAGTGTCACATTGTATTCGTATGACTTTTCTAGGAGTTGCATAAGCAAGAATAGGTGATCAGTTGTGGATCTTCCTGGCATAAAACCACTTTGGTATTCACGAATCATTTCTTCAGGCCATTTGGTCACTCTTCAGCATAAAGAAATTGACAGTACTTCTTATATAGATAGAATACCAAATTCAACTTTTCACTTTAATTATTTTGCAATTTCAAGATTTGATGAACATTAAGCAAGAGAATTGTATTGAGAGGAGAAATAAATAATATGAAACTACATTATTTGTAATATACACTTCTACTTAATTTTTGTTCCAATTAATAAATAAATACAAGAGAGCAGCAACTAAATCAAATTTGTTTCTTTTCAACAACAGAAGAATTTGTTTTGTTTTTATATCATAGAATCTTGTGTTTCAGATTAAATACGTTAAAATTGGAAGCTTGTCTTAGTATTTATAATTCTAAGGTATAATTTTTATGACTCTTTTGTATTAAAGAAGTGTCATGCTTAAATTAAATGTTTGTATTGCTATATATTTTTTTGCATAAAATTTCTTCACTTGTAATTTCTAAATAAATATATAATTCTAAATAACTTTGATTTTTTTTTTTTAAACTCAATCATTATTTATTTATTCAAAGGGCTTCTCAATTATGATAACAAAGCCGAGTGATTTTTCACTCACCTTTTGGAAAGATACCTCAGGGTACTTGGAATCAAACCTAGGTCTCTATGGTTTATAGCTAATGCTGCTAACAATTACATCACATAAACTGTTCATTGGTGGTTTGAAGATAGAAAAATGCTAATAAGTTCATTGTTGAATAAAATTTTTAAAAGTAATTGATTGTTCTATATAACATTTCCCCAAACCATTTGATTTTTGACTACATTATCTTCTTGTCCTGTATTGGACTCAATTTGGCACGAATGTTGAACAATTTTTTTTTGACACCATCATTACGTTTTGATACAAATTACATTTATTATCATTCCAATCTCATCTATTTCAATATATTATTGTCCCTCATACTCTTGACCTCTGAGAGAATCACTTTATTTTCATAAAAGGGTGCTGCCCAATTACATTGGTTTGCTTCAAACGCAGCATACTTATAAACTAAATATTCCCAATTCATTTGTTCTAAGCACTCTTAAAATGATGTTCTTCACTTGTCACACATTTCTTCCCCTAAATAGTCCTGCTAAAGATTGAATGTAAAAGAAAAATTTGAAACTTATTAAAATTATATGTGTATAAATAATGAATAGATAAATGAATAAATAATTTACGAGCATTATATAAATTTAAATTGGCATTATAATGTGAAATAATCAAAGATAACTAAAGATATATCTGATTTCTATAATTAAAATATTAGTTCAGAACTGCTCTGTTTATTTAAAAATTACAAGTTTCATTGTTAAATTACAATTGAATTTTTAAATTTTATTTTTAGTTTATGATCAACAAGTCATATTATGCATACATTTCAAGAAATGAAATATTATCAGGTAAAATTAATCTAGACTAAATAAATATGTGTGCATTAATGATTTAGATGGCTTGAGAGAATACTTGAAAGTCAAATCCAAAAAGTTGAGTGGGTTGACATCTCTATATTTGGGGAGAGAATTGAATATATGTGAAGTCAATTCTCATGCCAATGCAAATGATAAATTTAATTTCAACTCAAATTGAATGCATATGTAATTGCTCCAAGAAAAATAAGCCCCAAAGATATTAGAATATGCAGACCAAGACAGTGCTGCACCCGGACTCTTCTAAATAAATTTCAACTTGTGCAAGTTTGTAGCCAGTAGATTTATCTACAAAAAATTTAGGCCGTCAAAATAATGAAACCCATTGCAGATTTTCATCTAAGTATTGGAGGAAAAAAAATTAACAATCTATCTGGAGCAACATTCTGAGCCAGTTGTGGATGTCTTCACAGAGAAAAGAAAATGAAGTATACAGAATTTGAGGATTTTTTATTAAAGTATTTTTTAGAGAAAGAACGATATCAAGACTGATCAAAAAATAAAATTGAAAAAATGACTTACAGCAGCTGAATGGAGGAAAAAATAACATCCAAGCAAATTGTTAAATTTGCATTAACATTAATAATTTTTTAACTAATGAAAGCTTCAAAAGCATAATAATCAATAAAAACGAAATTTAAGCCTTAATGAAATTTTAATAAATACATAAAATAATATAATTTAATTAAATTAATAATTCTTACAAATTTACCAGCACATTCTGTTAATTTAGCAGTTATACAAAATAGTTGCTGAAAAACAACTGAATGCCAACCAATATAACAGCCTACTTATCTCAATGTTTCAACTTTTTAATTCGATCCTGGAAAGAAGGGAACCTGCTACTTTTTAATGCTTTAAATTAATTTATTATTTTAAAAACAGCTATAACAACAAGGTGACTGATTGTGCTAAAGCGACAATTGAGCATATTGCATTATCAGACTTTGGGTAAGAAGTTCTGCTGGTTTGAATTAAGCCTGGTAGAATGGCCAAATTCAAATGAATTTCAACTTTTTCACTGTATGGTTGCCTATAGGATATACCATCAAACAGCCTTTACAGTTGTAAAACCTTACATAAAGATGTCAAATCTTAATAAACAGACAATAACAGCTAAGAACTGTTAAAAAGTAATAAAAGTTGAATAATAACACACCACTAATCAGCAACTTAATTTAATCAAATAAAATTTAATGTTTTAAGAAAAAATTAAGGGTTTTATTGTTATACTTTTTTTTTTTTTTTTTTTTTTTTTTTTTTTTAAAGTAAAGGTAGGTGTTAAGAGAAAATCAACTAGTTATTTATATATACATGTCAAATATTCTAGGTGCCCCAACAAATCACTAACAGGAGTCATTAGGTAGCACATTCATTAAACAAACGTTAAGGTTTATAAATATCGACAAAAAATTGCTAAATAATAATAAAAATGAAAGAAAATGAGAACATTCCAGAATAGGGTACTATTTCAGTATTTTATTTAATATGTGTGTTTTTTTTTTTTATTATTCTTCTAATATCATGAAATATTTAAAATATACTACAACTGACCAACAACATGCTATGACCCCCTTACTCTACTGGAGACCTTTCTTTTCATTGCATATCTACAATCATGCAGGTTTAGAATGTGGCTGAAATTAATTACATCATTTTCACCATTCAGTCTGTGTGAATGGTATTCATCGAATATATAATTGTTTTTTTTAAATAATGTACTTAACTAAAAATTTCACAATTATTGATTGTTCAATACTTCATATTTCATGAATTAGTTAGAAAAAATGTTCAATTTACACTGAAATTTGAAATTATAACGTTTTTATTGATATATAAAATAAATTATAAGTATATTTTTAACTTAAGCTCTGTCACATAAATAAAAAAAAATAATTTAGAAACATAGTTTATCAAATGTACAAATATCAAGAATAATTGATATTTTTTCTGAATATGTTTACAATCAATTATTCATTTTAAATGAAATGAATTAATGCCACTTAAATAGCGATGACAATAATTGTTTTTATAACATTTTCAAAAACAAAAAATTCATGTGGAACACTTATTCGTGCTCATGCTCCAATTTAAATTTATATAACTAATGAGTGCATCGTTTAACAAAAATTACACCAAATCATACAACTATTCACACAACTACATTGATATGTACATAAAAAAAAAAAAAAGAAAATATATTTCTTTTTTAAATAATATTCAGCAAAAGCAAAATAATGGCTATCAAAAGATAAATACAAAAATAAATGGAGGAATTCCTCTAAACATTGTATACATAATATAGACATGCGATTTTTCACATCTTCTTTTTTTATTTTTAAATGAATTTAAGAATATTGAAGCTATGTTGGTGCTGGTGTTAACAAAAGATAAAAGCAATTCGGTCATTTTAAAATAGTCTTTATGAAATAATCATTATTTATAAAATAAGTCTTGTAAATGTTTTTTTTACTATGAAATAAAGAAATAAAAATAAATTGATAAGTTTACCTGAAGAGGAGCATCAGGCCTTGAATAAAGTTGCGAAAGTTGTTATGTCGTGTAATGGAGGATTCAGGGTCGAGCGCAATGTTACCAAACACCTACGCAGTGTGAGGGACAGGCACAGGGTGTCAAGGAAGAAACATATGTTAGTATAGCAACAGCAACGAACATACTCAAAGGGGAGGGCAATATCTACAGTGTGCACTACACACAGAAACCTATTCCTATTGTATACACCAACAGAGTGAAATGCTAACTATAATTCAATAATCTACTCTGTTGAATTTGTTTTACCTTTTGACAAACCCTTCCTTTTAAGAGAGTATCAAATTATTTATGTTATGAGATAAAGTTTTTTTTATTACAAAAAAAAGTTTATCTCTATTAATTGCTAAGACATATCCTACATCTAAACTATTACTGAACAACAAACAAGCACTATATAGTACACTTTTCCCAAAATCCCAACAAACCACTTCTAGTACAAATTAACTTATAATTTTTAACTAAATATTTTTTCTTAATAACTAGGCAACTAAAATTTCAAAGAAAAATTTATCAACTGAATTGATTCCTGATAGTTAATTAGCACTAGAAATAAGGCTGTAGGGGTGGGGAATTTGCTCCTTCGGTGACTCACCGAAACAGCAGTAAGAGAGCGCCGAAGAAAGTTTGAAAGTTGTTGTGGCGATTGAGAGATTGTTCAGGAATAAACTTCATGTTTCCAAATACCTTGAAAGACCCCATGCATATGTATATATAATGGGAACTACAGCTAGTTTTGTAATCTATTTTTTTTTAACTTAGAAATTAACTACTTGTCTAAGATCTGCTTTCGTAAAACTACATGTTATCTATTTTCTTCATAATTAATAAATTAATTACTAAAAATGTGACTATATTCATTATTGCTTATTCTTTACTAAAGTTTTCTAATAAAAAAAAATAAAAAATAAGAGTAATATTTGAGTTCCATAAGAAGTTTCTCAAGGAAGTGAGAGAGGGATTAAAAGAACTTTGTTCATAATAGCCTATAATGAATGAGTAATCAAATATTTGTCAAGTAAATTGATGCCGATAGTAATCAACAGTAAAATCAAGTCTGTAGTGAGCTCTTTTAAGATATTGTAAAATCTATCAAAAATACTGACTACGTTTAAGAGAATAGAAAGTTAAAATAATACAAAAAAGATGAATGAGCAAATGTATCAATATATAAAAAATAGAGATGGAGATATGGAAAATAGAGTGACTGAAGGAGGAAGAAAAGGAGAAAACTAAGATAAGAAAAATAAACGTCCCTGTACTATCAACAAGTGTAGACAGACCAGAAGTATTGTAGCGAGAGGGTAATAGTAAATATTACTAGTTTTTACTAGCCAATATAATATGTTGTACATATTCCTTATCGATCGACCATTTAATTAAATTAAAAATATTTGACTATTCAGGATTTTCAATTTTTGTTCATTCTTTATTTTACTGTTGATTACTATCAACAGGGGTCTGTACCATGGACTATAATTTGAGTAAAAAAATAGAACAAGAGAATTTTGATTCATTGAATTCCTGGTTGATGAACCCTGGATAATGGAGGTTCCACTGTATAATAAAATTGTTATCAATGCTACATCTTGCTGCAAAACCTTCTACAGCCACAAGCCAAGATAAGGATGGAAAGTAAAAATAAAACTTGACCAATTGTGAAGTGACATTGAAAAATCATATAAATATGACTAAGAAGTGATAATTGATTACTCATACATTAAAAACAATTAATTGATTTTAATTATATTTTTTTAAGTATAATATATGAATATGAGGTGGGCCGACAATAAGAAAGTAAAATTAATTGTAGGTATTTAGAAAAATAAATTGAAAACCAAACAATTATTATTAATAATATTACACTAACTATTCTACTATTTATTTTATTCATTAACGAAGCATTAATGAATTTAAAACATGCAGATTAATTAAATAAAAAGCATGAAGATAAACAACATTCTTCAGGAACCACTTTAATAAAAAATATCAAAATTATGACTATAGTTTATCAATAAATTACTATTTTAAAAACAATGTGTGACCACACTATACTGCATTAAGATATAATTAAATCATAATGAGTTATTCAAATATTCTACTATTTTATCTCAGTTCAATAAGTTCAATAACAGGCAGATAATGTGTCAACTTGCAGAAATAGAACATATATTCAAGCACCAGTTAGCAAATATTTATTAATTTAACAACTATCTTTGAGTTTTAATAAAATGATACATGTCTAAATTAGCAATACAAATGAACTAGTTCTTGAATAGTAATTATTTTTATTTGAAGTACTTTGTGATTTGCAGGTCCAAACTCATTTTAAGTCCTTTATTTTTAACACTTGTTATTATAAAATTATATTAAGTTTTAAAAGCACTATGAAAACCTTTCTTCTTGTTCTTAATACTTTAAACATTTAATATTTAAAAATGATTAAGTAAATAATTTGTACTTATTAAATAATTCAAGATATAATAAATGATATAAGATTTATTTAATAATTCACTAAATAAAAGCACTTAGTAGTTATAATAATTGAATAACAAAAAAAAAAAAAAAAAAAATGGACATTATTCTATCTGTTCTAAGGTACAGAATGTACTTGCATATATATTAAAACACATTGATAGATGATTAGTGAACTTACACATATTCTGATATAAAAATAATGAAAGACCAATAATACTAAAAATATAATGAAATATTTTTTTTCAGTATTGTGAGCTCAAACTGTTTCAAAACACTAGGAGGATCTCACTGACTAAGAGCCATCAAACTTTAAAATCAATTGAGCAATTTGTTTGAAAAATCGTTACATAGCAACAAATTCGAGAATAAAGCAACAGTCAATAAAGCTTTGATAATTCTACTTAAAAATTAATTAGGTATTGCAAAAATCTTTTAGGACATAAGTTACAGTTAACGCACAAACTAAAAGTAATGAAAATTAGGAATTAGAAGTATTGTATCAAATCCCAGACCCTACTTGTCACCATGAGAATTTAGATAATGCCCTCTTAATTTATGCATACCTAAAAAATGCTTGTTTAAAAAAAAAAAGTTAAAAGTATGTCACTGTACAAGTTTCCTTCCACCACATTACAATGTATAAAATTTGTTTACTATTTTTTTTTATTGCAACAAATGCTTGAATTAATAATTGAAAATATTTAACTAAGAAGAAAGCTTTTCAAAAAAATACATATCTTATTTATAATAAACTCACAGACAACCATGGACATACTACATACACTCACACAACTTCATACATATCTCATTCATAGTAGATTATAAAGTTATAAATTGCATAAATCATCCCTTAGTAAAGCGTTACTGGATGAAGGAAACTTTATGTATATATTATATTATAAGAACCACAGTGATCTGGAAGAATTATGAGGAATTAAGTATTTTAAGGTAAGCACATTTGACCATGGACAACATTTGAATGGGTAATTGGGAGCTAAACTTTCTCAGATTATCAAATTTTTTTCCTTGAAATAAATAAAACCTTAAAGTCTACTAAACTAGGCAAATCGCGCTGAGAAGATTTAGCAATGAAGACCCCAATTTTTCTTAAGCTGTATAAATTAACTCGAAATCACAATTTTCCTTAATCCAGTACTCTCTTAGTTAGATATTAGTATAAAATCACTTCACATGTTCTAAAAATTTCAGGATTGTTAGTTTTGATATCACACTTAAATGTAATTTTAAATTTATTTATTAGTACGGCCATTGTTTAATTTTTGAAAATGGTTGGGGGATACATTTCGTAATAACATAATTAAAAAAGAAAAAAGAAGTTGAGCTGATGCCTATGACAAGAGTTCCAAAAATATTTTGAAGAGTGGATTAAACATGGCGATTATATATTCATCTTATATAAATCTTATCATTAATTTTATAAATTAATTCCTAAATCTTTTAGAACTTTATGTGTGTATTTAATTTAAATACAAAAACACAACAATGGCAATTTCATAACTTTATAATCAAACCAAATAATTATATTGCATAGTTATCATAGGACAATATTTTGTATGTATCAAGAATAATAAATCTTTGGAGATAACAGTGCCACATACCTGCATTCCAATAATTGCATATATGAAGAATAACATAGCAATGAGCAAACAAACGTATGGCAGAGCCTAAAAAAATATATAGGATGTAGTTAAGTGTATATTAAGTAGAATATTTTAAACTGTAAAAAGAACAAAAAACAAAAACATAAATACCTTAAATGATTGCACAAAAGTCCATAATAATATTCGTATAGTATAACCTTGTCTTAACAGTTTAATAAGTCTTGCAGCTCTAAATAACCTCAAAAATCCAACATTAAAAGAATTTTCCTGTAATGAAAAAAAAAATATTTTTTTAATAACATAATACTATCTTTAAAACCAAAGTACTAACAAAAAAAAAAAAAAAAAATGAATACTAATTGAAAGCTCAAGTAAATAAAAATGATTAATGATTTCTTTAAACAAACAACTTATGACTAAATGAAGAACCTATTGAATATGATTGAGAGCTTGTGGAGATATATCAAAAACCTTACAAGGCATTGTGCTTCTCCTCCTTTGCAAAGTTGATTCCTAGGCCATGAGCAAAGGAGGAAAATTTAAATTTTTAGCTGAATACCTTTCATCTGTTCTTACAACACATATAGAATTCACAAATATTGAATATGATAACAACATACTCTTTGGAAATACCCCTACATTGACATGAACTTCTTTGTCATTCACATCTCATGTTTCTGGAAAAGTTAAAAAGAAAAGACCATAGAAATGACTTGAAGTACTCCTACAAAAACCCAGTAAAGCTAATATTTCTAGGCAATGCTCAAGTATTTGACAGATTCATGCTCCAGGAGATTCTCTTCTTTCACCAACATATTAATTTATTCTTCAATCCTTTCTACCTGATAGATTTTTCTCTATCCAAAAAGATTCAATGTTTTGTTTTGTCCTTTTACCTCTTACTTGGTCATTTCTGACCTACCAATGTGGGAGATGAGTGAGGATTATTCCATACGTATAACCAGCCTTTGGAAGGGGGAGATTCATTCTGTAGGTCTTCTAGAATTGAGATATGATCGCTTGATACTCTTGCCAATCATTGCATCAAGTGTCAGAACTATCTTCTATTAGGTCAATCATAGCAGAAGTACCTCCAGTTCCGGTGCTTACTCTATTACTTTAGATTACATACACAAGCCATTCCTCATAGTTCCAAAATTTTAACAGCAAAACAACAATCTTAACAAGACACAACAACACAATAACAAAATTACCCAGGAGAATCCGACTAAATCACATTATCTCATCTTTACTTTTCAAAATGGAATATGTTCTCTAGTTTTTCTTAACTATACACAGATTAATATGCAAACATATGCATATTGAGCCCATATTACAACTTGATTGAACACAAACTTAACGAAACCTATTTGGACCTATGGATCACAGATATATGGGACAGTTAAAGAGATTCAGATTAATAAACTTTAAAAGTTCAATGCAAAACATTCAGGACAGTAACAAAAGCACCATGGTATGTTAGCAACATGACTTTACATACTAACCTTCACATGCCTTGGTGTAGGGAGGTGGCAGCCCCATCGCCCGTTCCTAGTACCGCAGATAGCCACTGATCCTCCAGGTTGAGAAACAGTACAATGACAGTCACACATATATGCACAAATCACAGTACACTATGCTCACCTCCACACTACAGACAAAGGTCAATAACAGTACTCACCCTAGGGTCATCTTTCCTAGGTAGCCGTCCTGGATGGGAGAATGACCCAGAGAGCTCTGAGGAGACAGCTCCTCCACCCGATTTAGGGGCAGTTAATCAGCTTTCCCTAAATAACCTTATCACGAAACCTAAAGCAGCCTCAGATTTGATCAGTTTCTCAAGGAAATGATTAGGTACCTCCAATGGTAAGAACATTGACATTGGATATTGGAACACTGTCTTTATACCGACCTGGGGCTCTGAAACTGTTTCTAGATCAAATAAGTTTTTACAAATTGGACATAGTTGCCATCTAGGAATGAATTCTATAGAAGAGTCAAGAAAATATACAGAAGAAAAACCACACCATATTTTACAGCTGCCGTAACAAGACCAAGTTCGGTGTGGAATTCATTGTTAGAGGTAAAATCAGACAGTTGGTGATTGGATGGAAACCTGTGAATCTCAGAATATGTCTCATCAGATTACAGGGGAGATTCTACAATTACAGTATAATCTGTGTACACACTCTCACGGAAGTTGCTGATGATGAAGAAAAGGACAGGTTCTATGACTCTCTTGAAATGTTGAATTGAAAGAACTCTCGATGCCTGTCCAAGCTACATCAAGATTATCACTGGATACCTGGTCTGGAAGGAGGAAATCTATCACCTTACTATAGGATGTCACAGCCTTCACGAGGAAACTAATAAAAATTGCCAATGCCTTGTAAACTTTGTTGCATCCAAGGGAATGGTTATTAGAATGGACTCTCGCACAGAAGAATACATAAGGGAACATGGTCATTGCCTGACAAGAAAAATGTCAATGAAATTGACAAGTTTCTAGGAGCCAGACAGGGGGCGGGTGACCAAGAGGATTAACATGTGTGCACACGGTTGCCTGGCAACCTGATAACCGAAGTTAGAGCTGGAAAAATAATTACAAGTTCAAACCCCAGTCCCCGGTGGGACTTTGAACTTGGCACAATTCCCTCCCCTCCCTCCAGCCAGGGAAACACCCCGTGTAGCCTAAGAGCCAAGGCAGAGGAGATAAAAAAAAAGTGAGAGCTTGGCATAGATCCAGCCTACTGGATGTAAGGACCTATCATGGATTCTTTGACCACTAGCTCAGTGTTGTTCGCCTGACAGCCAAGATAAAAACAGAGTGTTGGCCTCTTGGTCAAAGAGGGAAAAGGTTTAATCTGGATAAACTGAAGGACCCTGACACCAGGACACATTATATGGAAGAGCTGGATGAAGACCTTTGAGCTCAAAGAATTAATGGTGGTGCTAATTTTTGGTGGAAAGTCCCAAGCAATGGAGAAGAATGCAGAAGAGATCTTAGTGGGGCAGAATAGAGAAACCCGATCCCATTGGTTTGATGAGGAATGCGAAGCCGCTAAAAATCAGAAGAACCAAGTGTACTAATCCGTGGTTAATAAAGCCAAAAGGAGAACCATTGAGAAATATCAATTGAAGAGATGCAAAGAGGAGTGTTTACATCGCAGAAGGAAGAGGCAATGAAAACAAGAGGCGTTGGAGAAAACAGAAATTTTTTTGGAGATAAGGAATTCTGACACTTTTATAGGAAAATAAACAGGAGCCAATAATCCTACTCTAATGCCTCTTAGATTGGCAAAAACTATGAGGGGTACCTACTTTCCAACAAGCAGAGAGCCCTGTCCCAGTGGAGGCATCACTTTAATGATCTCCACAACAAGGGGCCTTTGGAACTCTGTGAGGAATTAGGGAAAGAAGAAGAGGACCATAGGGAGAATGAAGCAGATGATGAGCCACTATTCAAAGATGAGATCCGCGATGCTATGAACCAATTGAAATGCAACAAGCCTCAACAAGGGAGTACTGTTGGACTCCCTGCAGAATTCATTAGCTGCAGTGTGAGTGAACTGCTGTAAGATATGCAGGATCTCCTCATCACCAGACCCATGGACTATGTCGTTCATCTGTTCTATATTTAAGAGGAGCGATCGAATAAGGTGCTCCAACTACAGAGCGATTTCCCCTCCTATCAGTCGAATACTAAGTTCTCACATACTTACTTTTCAATCGTTTGATACCCCATGCAGAGAGGGTACTCGGCTGGTACCAGTGCGGATTCAGAAAACGCAGGTCTACAACTGACCAAATATTCTGTCATATATAGCATGAATAGGGAAGAATTGTATGTGGCTGTAAAGCATTTTAAGATCCCTAGCAAGCTCATAAGCCTTGTGAAGCCTATAATGAACAATGTTAGCTACATGGTTCAAATCGGTGGATAGCAGCCGGAAGAATTCTCCTAAAGAAAAGGATTAAGCCAGGAAAATCCCTTAATCTGCCTTCTCTTTGATCTTGTGCTGAAGAAAGCAGTGAGAGATACTGGCATACAGATCAAAGGCAACATCTTTAATAGATCTGTACAGCTGATATGTCTGTAAAGCTGCACATGGATGATATAGATATCGTAGGACGCTCTTTACAGGCTGTATTGGACACTTTGCTTGCTCTCGTGGATCCTGCAAGAAGACTTGGCTTGTAAGTCAACGCTGCCAAAACAAAATATATGGTTACAGGAGAGGCGTCTAGGCCTGGAGAGGAGATGATCTTCGGAGAGTACTAATTCGAGAAAACAGTTTTTTATGTCTCAGCTTCTTGGTAACTCAAGACAATGTCCCTAAACAATATAGGATCATGGCAGCAAATTGATGTTATTTTTCAATGAAAAGGCAATTCCGGAGTAGAACTCTTTCCAGAAGATCAAAAGTTATGTCTTTATAAGGCTATGTGTCCAATCTTGCTGTATGGTTGTGAGACTTGGACTACTTCCTGGGCTTGTGAACAGGAACTTTTAGTCTTTGAAAGAAGAATCCTTTTTCCCCAGGTTATAGACATATTTATGGTGGTGTTCTCGACAGATTGGAAAAGGAGGAAGAACCAGGAGTTGTTCACAATGTTTAAGGAGCCCGATATAGTTCGAGTGATGAAGATTGCAAGATTGAGAAGGGCAGTGAGGATCCATCAAGACAACTACTGATGGAGCCACTCCATGGTACCAGAAGAAGAGAAAGTGGCTGATGGTGTTGCGACTGATGCAACACACATACTGAGGCTTTGGAATTGGATGGCAGCTGCAAGGGACCAAGGCAATTGGTGGAAGCTGCTGGAGGAGACCAGGATTCAACACCGGATTGTAGAGCCGCCACACTAATAATAATAATAATAATAATGAACTTCATATGCCCACTCAAAATAAAACATAAGGAACTACTACAAACTTTTCCAAAACAAATTACAAGTATACCTTAAATCACAAACAAATGACATGGCCACAACACTCATGCTAGGTAATGCTTATAGAACAGGAGCTGGATAAGTGATCTCCTTGTCTTACAGTAAATGTTAATATCACCAGTAATTACGTTAATAAATGTTTTGTACTTCAGATGTTTGGGAATAGGCAATTAATATACTTCTAGGAGAATATGATATATACACATATATGTATTCTTATTTAAGTATTCAAGTATATGACAATATAGTAAATTATATATTTCGGAGTTTGTCTACAATAATAATAAAAAATGAAAAGAATAGTTGACCAATTTACTTAATTTACCATTTACCATACTTTACTGTATATAAATTGAAATTATAATGTAATTTAATTGAATATTCCATTAAAATGTTAAATTTAACAAATAATTGGGTAGTTTTAAAGATGGTTTGTTCATTTACATCAACAATTTTAAAATCAGAGTATGACATAAAATGTTAAATAAAACTTACTACAAATTCAAGAACAAGGGCATCCACAATACTTCCCACAACAGTAACAAAGTCGAAAGTATTCCAAGGATCTTTGAAGAAATTCTGTGAAAAAAGTTTAAAAGTAAAAAATTTAAATTCATAAATTGATATAAACATAAAATATACGTACATAGCTCGCATAAATAAAATTCTATAAAGTTAAGATATAGAAAATTAGCTACATCAAACAACCATATTCCCCTAATATTTATTCTGTGCCAGTATCATATAAAATAAATATGCTGACAATCTACAGTACACCGAGCTATACTAAACAAAAAAAAAAAACAAAAAAAAAAAAATTAAACAACAAATGTTGGATATTTTACCAAGTACAAGGTTCACTTATAACATTTCATTGATAAGAACTAAATCAGAAATTGTAAACAATAGAATTATGTAAAAAAAAAAAAGTGAATCTTGCACACCAGTTAGGTAATATGAACTGCCTCAGAAGTTACTTTTTTTTCTTACCACGCGAAGATCTTAAGACCATTTATAGAGTCCAAATTGATTATTGCGTATCTTTGATTTGATCTAAACTCTATAATATGTGCTAAAATGTTTTAACTTGCATTTGCATTGCCCATTGTGGGATGTTTTAAAATAAATTATATCGATGGCATGCTGTAGCATGGCTACTATTTATTATTTTACTACTGCATGTATGTGTAGAAAAGCAACTAGTCTACCTCTTCTATTTCTACAGCTTTTTAATTTAATTTTAATTTTGTTAATATTTCAATATGCAGCATACTTGATATTAGTTTCATATAAAATTATCAGTTAATGATTTATATACTGTATAAAAGCTTATATAGGAGCCAGTGTGGATTATAAGGAGATACTTAAATTGATTAGTTAAAAGCAATAATTGGATAAAATTATTCTAATGATAAAATACTTAAACATTCATACAACTTATTATTTTACTTTATCCATTCTCATAGTTTCACTATCTATGAAAATATATATATAAATATTATAAATATATATTTATAACTTAATGTTTTAAAATTAATTTATATTTATATAAAAAGATCATTTATTCTATAAATTAATGACAAAATAATATCATGCAGTATGAGTTAATTATGTTACCTTGAGATCTAAAAAGGCAAAATAAAAAAAATTAAAAAAAAAAAAAAATGAGGATCAATAGATCACCTTAAATCCAAACGCGATGAGTTTCAAAACACACTCTATAAGGAATAGCGTTGTGAAGACCAAGTTCATAATCTGTAGAATATCATCAAGGAGAGGCGGGGCGTCGCGATACTGCCAGACACATACATGACAAGGCACATCATTACACTTACTAACTTACACTCCCAAGCAAACTTATCTCACTTCATAATCAAATAATAAGGATATTTTACGCTCTTAAAGCACATCAAGTTAAGCTATGATAAGTTTGCGCATAATATAGGGGAGTAGGATGTTCAAATTACAAACCAGATATTCATATATAATGGGGCCAATGGGAGACATCTTACCGGTAGCGGAATGTCTCGAACACAACTTAGTAGTAGTTAAGGTCTACAGGCAGCTAATGCATGTCACATATTCTACCAGGGAAAATTGTACAGTGTTGTCATTTATTTATTGGCTTACATTTCATATTATAAAAATATAATTTACTTTTTATAATTTTAGGCAACACTGAACAATTGAAAATATACAGTGGAGATTGCAAAAGTGATGAGTTTGATCAGTCTTTTTTTTTCCTGATGTCAATAATTAAAAAAAAAAAGATTGAAAATTAAAGCGTAAGGATATGAGTGGTAGTGCTTGAAATTCCATGCTAAAACATGCCTTTAATTCTCATGCACTTGGACACATTATATATATCGATGTTTAATTTCTTTCTCCTAAACATTCTTTACCTTTGCGATGGTTGAACAATTATTTTTATGCATTCATTTGAATAACTTAAGAATAGGAGCTAGTCAGCTTGCTCAGTTCATCCATAATGAACCGGTTTGTTTTCAGATGATTAATAAACAATAAAAATAAAACAAAATAATATCCGATAACTTACCTTGAAAGAAGGATTGTTGAGTTATCCTGAAAAGTACTTGAGAAAGGCAGTTCACAATATATTCCTAAATACTATTAAGGTGATCATGTACTATTATCCCCCTATTACACTGTATTTTGTATATTAAGCTAAAGTGATGAATAAATGAATGCTTGTCTAAATTATAAAAAATTATTTTAACATACAATATACAGTGGCTTAGGGAATTATCTGTGTGGGAACACATTGCTTACCCTCACTCCGAATGCCATAATCTTGAGAACACACTCAACCGTGAACATGCCAGTGAAGCCCATGTTCATGTAGTTAAGAGTTTTCTTGTATATTGCACTTTGCTTGTGATACTAATGAGTGGAGCCCAAAACAAACAAAGAGCCAAATTATAAACAAATGAATGACATAGTGGATATCCAGTTGCTTATTAACGAATTCTACACAACATATAGATTGTAACACTCAAACTTTACAAATCTACTATTGTATGTATGTGTAATAAGATTAAGCCACACTTTTCTCGGCTACAACTGGAGGATAAGAAAGTGATATATTTAATTTTTTCCCAAATGACATATTCTGATATTGGAAAGATGTAATCTTTTCAACAATGTTGTAAATGTATTTTTAAAAATATAAATTACTAATAAAAAATTATGGTAAATAAATATATAATGACTAAAAATATACAATCAAGAAAAATATAAAGAGAAAAAAAGAATTTACAATGATGAAAAAAATTACTTTAACAATAAAAATGATTTTGTGGTTTAAAAAAATATGCACATTTTGGAACGACTGAACAAGTATCTCAAGTTGTAGCATTTATAAAGACTATTAAAAAGCCATGCTTAAAATTTTACAGTATTACTCATTTCAAATAATGTGCATTCACTTTAAGCTTGTGCTTTTAATGTAACACAATTAATAATTAATTACGTTATTAATTCATGCTTCAATTAGACTTAGTTTAATTGTAATTATATTTATTATACCATAGAACCCATTCCATGAGCCATTAATGAGAAATATTCTATAAAAAGCATAGAAAGAGAATGTTGCTATTAGAAAGAAGAAAAGATTCTACAACTACTTAAATAATATTAACAGCATCAGAAGATAACACAGAGAAAGTTATAGAAGATTTGAAATTATTGCCAAAATAATAATTAAAAAAAAAACTAATATAATTTTTAATATTTAATATATATACATTAAAATGTAATAATTGTTTTTGTATATTCTGTAAAACATATTAACATAAATTATGAGATAAAAGAATAGCCGTTTTAATATACTTGGGAATAGTTAATATTTTGATTTTTTTAAAAATCATTTTCAAATCAGAGTAAATAGATAACAATTACAGAAAATATGGTACTTCCAAAGAAAAATATATATAATAAATAAAATAAAATGTAAAGAAGGAAAACAAATGTATAGGAAAATAAAAAGAATAAAAATTGCACCCCAGTCTTTAAGGGAGTGTTAGATTAACACGAGTTTTCAGAAATTGGTTGACTTGATTGAAGTGAATTGTAAGTGGAAAATTGTGCTGTTTGGAAGTTTTTAAGATATGCAGCTTTATGTGCATTTTAAAAGATATTTTATTAAATAATTTATTTTTTATCTGCAAAAAAATCATGCTATAAAGCATAGTATTAAAATATAAATAAATAACAAAAATGAAATAAATAATGATGAAAACATTTAATAAAATTTAGCAAAATGTGTGTATATTTTTTAGGATGTTTTAAATTATTTCAGCAAAAAATAAATCATTACAGAACTTAAATAAAAAAACAACCCCCAAAAGAAAGAAAGTTGTTATGGAAAGCTTATTAACCTTGAGCTGATAAAAATACCATGATCATGCAACAATTACAGTGCTTAAGTGTAATGCAACTTATTGTGCGAGGGTGTAATATAGGTTGAAACAATATTAATAATTGTTAATGGAAATAGTAACATTAATAACTTGGGAGAGCAAAAATTTATCTGGATTAGTTTTAAAGTATTTTCAGAACAGAAAAGTATTTAAATGTAGAGGAAAGATTTTTCGTTGTAATCTCCTGTTGGCCCCATCTGAAAAGTTCTTTGTTTTTGATTTATCACTGTTTGTTTAATATTGAATATGTTAACAGAACAATGGGACTTTCAATGAAAATTAACCAATAACTATAATATTTACATTTGCGGTTACCAATATAAGGAGTAATAATATTTAGATTGTTGAGTATCATGATTAAATAGTTTACTGATACAAAGAATAAAGTATATGAATGATAAAAATATTTATAATATGATAAAAAAAGATAATATGAAAGAGTATTTAAAAAAAAATCTAAACAACACTGATACCAGAGTTATGTGATAAATATTGAAGATTCACTAATGACAAACAAGGCTGGTTTAAACTGATACATGTTGAAAACCATATTAATAACTAAATTACAATAAAGAAAGCAAAATTTCACGATTATCTAATTTTTCCCAAAGCATTCTTAAAAAAGGGAGCACTCCACAGTATGCAAAAATATAAACTTGATGAACCTGTCTTTTAAAATGTTCAACTTTAATCAAGAACTAATTTTGTCATGGTATTCAGTAAATTTTAATTTAAGAAAAATAATTTACTCTTCTGAAAAATATCAAACTAAAATAGGAAAACCCTAAATCATTTTAAGAGGACAATGGAAAAAATACTTGTTTAATATATTTTATTTTAAAAATAGATAATAGTTACTTTTGAAAAGTAAATTTTTAATTTTTATCAACACTGATTGGTGAAAAAAGTAGTTATCGTTAATGTTTTATTTGACCTTTTCTGACCAGTGGAAAATGAATCAAAATAACATTTAAAGAGGTCATGATGTGCTCTAAATCTAAACCTTAAAAAAAATATTGATTATATTGCCAAAATTAATAAGAAAATGTTAATTTTACTCAATCACTTCTAATGTTAAGAAATATCCTGATATATTGGTATGAAAACATACTTTATTCAAAAACTTATTAGGCCAAAGCCATACCTAAAGTAAGCCAATATAAATCCAAAAGAAGGATATTCAAGGATATTTGTTCAAATTTAAATTTTTACCTAAAGAAAAATGAACGTTTTTTTCTTTTCTTTTTTTCTAATGCATAATATTAACCCATAGCAGGGAACATTTACTATACACAAGTAACTGAGAACACCCGCCTTATTTTTACGCATATTTTTTTGCATTGGATAGGCTACCATTTTTACACAATGCTCTGTCACCCCATCCTCTAAATAATAAAAAGACCTAAACAAATCTAATATGTTCTTAGTGAATTACCAATTTTGAGATTCATAGTAGATTAGAGTTAAAGTGTTACATACATTAAATAGTGTTGTAACAAGTGAGGCATGCCAGAAATGGCCAGTTAAGGAAAAAAAGAGGATTATTAATTAAATTTTAGATAATTATTATTTGAATCTTTTATTATATTGAAATTATATCAGGGAAAAAATGCATTTTAATATTATAAAATATAATTGGAACAACATTCTATAAGAATATAGAAGATAGAAATCTTTCCAAAAATAGATAGAATTAGACTTTAGTAAATAATTAAATCAAATATATTGACACACAAAATGTGAGGGGCTTACAATGATTATGGAGTATTTGATTTTTATCCAGAAAAAGAATGCTTTGTAAATATTATAATGTAAGATTATCTATATATAAAACATTTAGTATCTGATAAGTACTTTAATAATACAGTTATAATGTATGTGTATTTCTTTAAAGAAGATTTACTGAACACACTTTCTGGGAAAAAATCAAATCCAACTTACGCTACTATCATTCTAATTCCCTCATATAAGTAAATATAAAATGACTTGTTAACAGAAACGAAATATAATAAGGATTAATACATATAACAACAATAATAGAAACCTCCAAAGGACTAGATTCTTTACGCACAAATGTACAAAGGCTTTACAAAATTCACAAAAATTACAGGAATATATAAAATATAAGCAAAACTAAAAAAATACTTTACAAAAGGTAATACAAATTTCAACATATAATAATTCTATACAACTTCAAAGAATAAAATTATTCAGAAAATAGGGATGGGAGATATTGAAAAACATATGAAACAAACCAAACAATTAAAATTTATTATAGTTAAGGTAATAAACAATAAGTTAAGATTTAGTCAGTTTATGAAGTAGATATAAATTGCTGTTAATTACATGAAGAACACTAAAAGAAATATCTGCCTGCGTATAGATTGACATATGATTTAAGGAATTTCTATCTGAAATACAGGTTGAACTCTTGAAAGCGGTATCTTCTAATGTTGAATGACATTTGAACTACACAAACCTCATGGAAGCTTAAGAATTTTAAATCTCTGGTGAACAGAAGATGAAACTATGACGCCTATGAGAGCAGTGTTCCCTGCTAAGGTTTAATTGAATTCCTAATTTTTTATGTGGATTTTTTAAATTTATTACAACACTGTGGAGATATTAATTATAGTTTAGTTGGAAGCAAGAATAAATAAAAAATAATTGTTACTTTCAGTGAGTTGATTGTTAATTGTACCGCTGATGATTATTTGGAGATTTTGGATGACTGATCATCATACAACATATCTCGATAGGTCAACTACAACCACAGATCTTACTAATTTTATTTTATTATAATAAATTATTTTACAGAAAATTTGATCATTGGATTCATTAAAGAAAAGAAAATTAAGTATAAAAAGATCATAAAATATAAATTATTTAATAAAAACAAAAGTTATATCAAAACTGTGCAAACAAGTTTAAAATAAGTGAAGACAAAAATAAAGATTATTTTTATTACCCATACCACCAGTTATGTGAAGAATAATTAAGATCTATAAGTTATTTCTAATAATAAACTTTTTTTAAATTTCTATTTATTATTAATTAATCACAACTCAGCTATATTGGTAACCCATTTAAATAAGGAAGAATATAATGTAGTATTAAAAAAATAAGAAAAAAATTACTTACCTTCATCATGAGAAGTAAAGTATTAAATACAATAAGCATCATGATGAAGTATTCAAACGGGGTAGACACGACTATTCTCCATATTTTGTACTTAAAACTATTTCTTTTATTTGGCATATACCTTTCAAGAGGTCTCGCTTGTATCGTGAAGTCAATACAAGATTTCTGAGAAACATTTAATACATAAGTAATGAATAATGTTTGATTTCCAAAATAAGTAAATACAAAAGGGTGTTTTAAGAAATCACAAACATAAATTACCTGATTTTTATCTATTTCCCCATCTTGAAGTTCTGCTTCTCCTTGCTCTTGAAATGTTATAATAATTAAAGCTACGAATATGTTAACGAAGAAGAATGGAAAAACTACAAAATACACTATATAAAAGATGGACATTTCAATACGGAAATTCTGAATTGGACCCATTTCTTCATAAGTAGCTGCCATTGAATTTTGTAAGATTCTGAAACCAATTAATGGATTCAGAAATTATATAAACTTAAATATTACTAATGCATGCCAATATTAGTAATGGTATAATATAAAACCTTCAAACAATATATAATACTATATAGATCAATTGAATTATATATTAAGTAAATATTAAAAATTACTTCTTTGATTGACACACTGAAAAAAATCATAATTCAAATGGTTAAAAAAAATTACTTCTTCTAATAACTCAAACATTATACGTTATCTGAAATGTAATAAGGTACTCATTTGAGATTGAATTAAATTCTCTTCAAAATGAAGAAGATATCATATAAATTGTACCACTATTAGCAAAGTTATATTACAGTATTCACATTTTTTGCACAGATTCCCTTGGAAAAAAAAAAGAAAAAAGTTAAAGTTAAAAAACACTGGATTTTCTCATTTTAATTCTTTCCAGGCAGAAAGTTTCACAAATTCTGATCACAGTTCATTACCTTGGTAGTGTAGATGTGCACCCATAAGTGTGAAAAAATTATATTAATATTGCACAACTATTACAACAGTAATTTTTTTATTTTTTATTTGGGAACAACTATCTGTTTCGTTTGATTATAAAATAAATGTTTTCTTGCTGTTCGCCTTTCTGTAGCATTAAAATGAATGTCGGGTGCTCATTCTAAATCTATTATGACGTTAACTTGCTAAAATGCTACGTAAACAATGGTGCAGGCAACAATTATTATCATTAAAGATTATTGTATCTTAAATCACATAAAAATCAACAATCTGATGTCTATCAATGTGCGCCACCTGAGTACCATAACTTACCTAACACATGTTGAAAGAAGTATGACTGGTCCTATGCCATTGTCTGGTGTAAAGCAATACTGATACTAAAGTATTCCAAAGATGAAGCTACTTAATATTATTAAGTATTAGCTTCTTCATGAGCTTGGTGGTTCTGTTAAGGCTTTATAGCAAAAGGATTTTAGCTTACATATAATAATCCTGCTTAGGATATTACAGCTAACATGTCTGAGAAGATCTGGAGAACTGCAAGGGTATTAAGTATGTTTTAACTGAACATCAGGCAACATACAACAGGCCTTATAGGCCATGCAAATGAAAACTTTTTTTTTTTTATTTGCCTATATTTGAAGGAAACATTTTAAGTACAATATTAAATATAAATTTCCAAAATCCATGGATCTTATGCGTCACCGACATTGAAAGGTGAGAAAAACAAAATCTCAGGATCCAGCTACCATATCTCTCTCACTAACTACTCCAGTAAAGTGGTTGAAAATATGGTGAATAGTAAATTAATTGGCCTCTTAAAAACAAAGGAGTATGGAACAATCTCCAATGCGGTTAGCGTAGAAATCGCTCTACGGTCAACAAATATAATTAGATCGACCACGACTATTCAAAACCCAGAAAAATAAGATATGTTCTATTCAGTCATGGAATAAATGTAAATAAACAATGGATAAGAATGGATCATATCTCAGTTAAACAGAAAATGTTAAATTTGTTGGTCTTTATCTTGATCACAACTTAACATAGTAAATCCACATAAATAAACTTATATGAATAAAATGAAGCTACTAAGGAAACTGGGCATTGTATACTATATCCATATCCATCCATTGGTATACTATCAATAAGTATCAATATACCATAAGTATCAATAAGTATACCCATCCATTGTAGGGCTTCTGACAGGGCAATGCTACTAAGGATTTAAAAAAATGGAATATGGCTGCTATATGCTATATGTATCATGTTAATGTATATTCATTAACAGAATCATTTTGTACACCAGAATGTGGCAGAACTACGTCACCAAAATTATCAACTTTGCAAAAGAGATAGGCCTCTGCATCCAGATATAAATAGATAATTCAGTTCCAAAAATAGAAAACAGATGATGATAATTGTTGCAGTTTTTCATTAAATTCAAAATAAAAAAATATATGAATACTGTACCAGAAATTTTATCTTAACTATGTGCAAATTAACTTTTTTTTTCTTCGTAAATTTTTTGCTCCTTTTACATAGGGATGAACTGAGTACAGAAAGTAGAATGGCTTGGAGAAAAATATTTTAGGAAAGTTCCTTTAAAGTCAATTTTGATGCTACAGTCTTTATAAAAACACGTTTTTTAAACTATTGTGCTCGATTAAAAAAAAAAAAGTTCATCGATTAATGAGATATTCATGGTACAGACCTACAGACAGACCCAGAAAGTAATTAATTTGCTTGAATTAAACTTGGAAATATTAAACTTTATAGGTTGTAAGTCACTTTCTCACATGATAACACAAAAATCTTATTCTTACAATACTACCGGAACCACCTACAACTTATGAGAATCACCTATAAAAAGCTAATGACTGATAAGGCTTAATTACATAAGTAGTAACTTCTTGATTAACTTTTATCCTCAGCGATTACTGAATAGTTTAACTTGTATTTTATGGTATTCATTAAAATACAAAATTATACTTACTGCGGCCAACCTTCTCCTGTTTGTACTGCAAATAATGTTAACATGGCAGCTGCAACATTATCATAGTGGAAACATCTCGCTTTCCATAAACGCTTTTCTGCTTTTGGTAACGGGTTATCACCTTCAAAAACAAAAAATTCACCCCTAAAAAAATGATCAAAACATTCTAGATTAGCAGTGAAGTTGGCTTATTGGAACATATTTAATTTGAGAGCCATTTGGTGGTACACTTACTGACACTCGCTTTCTGTGAATTTACTTTCATCTGAGCAGAAAAAGAATTTGCCATTAAAAAGTTGGACGGCAATGACAGCAAAAATGAATTGGAAGAGAATATATACAATAAGGATATTAATGACATTTTTAAGGGAATTAACGACACAATCAAAAACTGCTTTCAACTTTGGAACCCGTTTTATAGTTTTCAAAGGTCGTAAAACTCTCAGCACTCTCAAGGATTTGATCGTGGACAAATTCTGTACTGCAGATCTTCCACTGTAAAAAATAATTATTGTTACATAACTTTCATTTTTTATAGCAACTATTTAATGATATTTTATCTCTTTTAAACTGTTGAGTGAAATGAGTGATATGTTGAAACATTACCTCACTTCAAATCCAAGTGAAACAGCTGCACAAATTACAACCACTGCATCCATAATGTTCCAAAATTCTCTTAAATATGATCCTGGATGTAAAATTACACCCATATCTAAAATCTATAGAAAATTATAAGATTAAAATATGTTTCATACAGATAAAAAATAATTTTTAATGATACAAACACTATATCTTTACCTTTAGTAACATTTCTAATGTAAAAACTCCTGTAAAGGCATAGTCAAAGTAATTGAGAATTATATTTCGAGTACAATTCTCAACTACTGGGTCTTCGGCAGCCAATGCTATGCTACTAAGCGTGATAATAATCATAATAAAAAAATCAAAATATTTTAGGTTGACAACCCAATGAGCCGCAGAACGAATTCTAAAAAGAAAAGAAAAACAATTAAAAAATCATTAATTTTAAAAACAAGAATAATATGAAAACATTAATGAATTTTTCTTACGGATTAGTCGGACTTAAAATAAACATAGAAGAATATGGCAGCATAGGCTTGGGCCCTGTTATTTCATCATCCGTTTCTGGTCTCCTTTCTTCATCTTCTCGTCTACTCACTCTTCTTGAACCACTAAAAAACAAAAATAGATATCTATCCTGAATATATGTGATAGAAAAAAAAAAGCTGTGATATTTACTTATCAATACCACAGATATTTTTTATTGTTACATTTCACAAAAACATCAATAAGATGTTTTAAAAATTATAATGTTAAACATACAGCGAGGGTGATGGTGGTGAAATTTCCACTTGAGGTGGATTGCCATCTCCACCTTGGAGTGCTTCCATTTCTTTTTCCAACTCCATTTGTTGTTTCTGAAAAAAGAAAACTTAAAATATATATATATTTTACTTCGCTATCACAATAAGGATAGTATAATAATACATATATTACCATAAAAATTGTTTAAATTAAATTATGATATTGGATGTAATCAATTCATACCCAAAGTATTTCACATAGCGTTTTAATATAAAAATAAAATACAATAATTGCACTAAATGCATTTTTAAAAGTAAAAGTGTACCTCTTTATCTTCTTCTTCCTGCTCCTCTTCTTGTGCAGTTAATTCCTGAGCATTTGCCAGATTATCCACAGCAATAGCCAAGAACACATTGAGCAATGTGTAATTACCAAACAAAACTAGTACGATAAAATATAAAGCATACACCATCCCCCCCTTTTTGTGGCCTCCTTGAGATTGGATTCCATAGTACATAACTTCATTCCAGTCTTCCCCAGTCAAAATCTAAATTAGACAAAAAATACAGATTTATTAAGAATCACCAATAAAGATATAAAATTTATACAGAGTTGTTATAAAAAATTATTGGCCATACTTGGAAGACTGTAAGTAGAGCAATGGGGAAGGTATTAAAATTCGTAGGAGGAGTTCCGTCTTCAAAGTTGAACTGACCCCCAAATAACTGCATTCCGAGCAGGGCGAATATTAGAATAAACAGGAAGAGGAGGAATAAGAGGGATATAATAGATCTCATTGAATTTAGAAGGGATATCACAAGATTACGCAGTGAAGCCCAATACCTAAAACAGGAAAAATAAGTATATTTTCTAAATAAAAAAAAATAAAAAAATAATCTCTTTAAAATAAAATGAAACTTACCATCAAAAGATAATACATAACAATAATACAATTAGAAATTAAATATGATTTTTTTAAAGCTAAAAAATTAAAAGTAAAAACTACAAAACCTTTCACAAACATAAGTGTTTAACAATGTACATACAATATACATCAAACAATTAATTTCAACAATAACAGTAAGGATTGTTACATTAAACAAAATAGTCTTGAATACTTAATGTATAAATTTGTACATAAATTAAAAAAAAAAAAAAATAAAAGATATTTTAATCCAGCATAATAAAACAGAGCTACATTTATATTTAATTTTGGCAATTCCACTTGTCACTTTAATCATTCTTTTACATATGCGTGGTATGAAACAATAACAAAGTAATTTATAAAATATTAATTTACTAAAATTCATAAATACTAATTATAAAAATTAGTGGTCAGTGTAAACCTCAAAAAACCTGTTCCCAAGAAAGGTTTATTTATTCACTAGGACTTCAATACCGTTTGCTGACTAATGTTTATATAAGCAGGTGACATGATCAGTATCCATGATCAATCACCAAGTTACCCCCAATCTGACGAATGATCAAGAACAAGTTTATAGAGACTGGCTGGGTAGCAAGAAGATTTCCAGACACCCAAAGTCAATCTGCAGTTGGGATAAAGAAAATTAGTTTCTACCTGCAGCCATACTCCAACCTAGGCCTCGGGATTGGGAATCCTGTGTTTAAGATATAAGTTTATTTATTCTTCCATTTACATTTATTTTTACAATATACAAGTTCTTGTTCATATTTTTTGATTTTTGGAAAAGCATAACGTATTGGTTATCAACATGAAAGCAGACATTAAGTTGAGAAGCTGTGGCTGAAATTAATGTTTTTCGTAATGATAGTGTATTCTCTGAATAAAAATGGTTACGATCTGTACCTTCTTAACTCCTACTCTACTTCAATCTATCAAATTAATTAGAATTGATCTGATAAATTTTTAGTTAATTTTTGTTGAAGTGACAGTTGGAATTGTAAAATAATATTTAAATATAAAATAAGGAAATTAAAACTATATTCTTCTTTCTTCATCAATGACACATCGAGCTATCACTTCACAACTTATACTTACTTTGTGACTTTAAATATCCTTAGCAGTCGCAAAGCTCTTAACACAGAAAGCCCAAAAGAACCCGACTTGACTGCTGACCACACTACTTCGAAAATGGATGCACAGATCACAATACAATCAAAACGATTAAAGGCCGATTCAAAATAAATTCTAGGTCCAAGGGCATACATTTTGATGAGCATTTCCATCATGAACAGGCCGAGGAAAACATACTCAGCATAAACTGTTAACAAAATTAATATCAGAACATGGATTGATAAAAATACATTTAAGACAAACTGTAAAATTATACTCAGTGATAAAATATTTCTTAAGAAATCTCGTAAGTCTTGAAACTTATCATATTGTAGATCATTATAAATTTGATAAAAAAACTCACATAAAAATTTTTCTAAATAATCTGGCTGTCCATAATGTTCTACAGCGACACAAACAGTATTGAAAAAGACAAGCACAATAACGAACCAATAAAACCATTGTGCCTTCACTATGTGTCGTATCCAGAACCTAAAAAATATTTTGTTTGAAATTACTTAAATTTTGAAAAAAAAAAGTATTAGTTTTTCTACTTACTGATATATTCTTTGGTTATATGAAACTTAATATGATTAGAGCTTGAAACTTACCTAAATCCTTTTTCTGCTCTCCAGAACTGTGCACAAGCACCTTTGTTTTTTACTTTTGATTTTAAGTATGAAGCTCCAGAGAAACCTTTAACATGAAAAATAATTTAAATTAAGTGGTGAATTAATTGATTTATCTTCAAAAACTTTGTTCTACCTAATGATATTTCAGGAATTGATGTGTCTTAAAAAATGGAAAACAAATAATAAGGAAACAATGACATAGAAAATAATGAGGCACACATAAAAAATTCAGAAGTAAAATGAAAAATATACAATTTTAATTTAGTTGGTTGACATAAAAAACAAAAACTAAAACAGAATATTTTTTTTTGCGATAAAAAATTAATTTTATGAGGTGAACAAGATCTTAACAATGTAGTCTGTATGAAGCAACAAAGGATCAGGTGGTAGGCTAAGCCCGGAAATCAGAAAACCTAAGTATTCATAAAGGATAATGAATAGTTTAAGTAGAAACAAAAGATTAGAAATTTGGTGGTAATAAAATCAAATACATAAAACAGAAATAGGGAAAGAAGCTTTTTTGAGAGCCAGGGAACAACATTTATTTTTGGGTAAAGAAGGAAGTAAATGAGGAAGTCTGGGTTCAATTAAAGAACAGAAGAAACCAAGTGTTTTAAAACCATTATATTATATCAATTGATGATTAACATTTAACCAAAGATGTTAACGCAATTAATAAATCACTACATTACATTTATTAATTAACTTAAAACTTAAACTGACTAAAATTTTAATTTTTTATAACTATTATAAAAGAATTCTTTTTATCAATAAATTAAGAAGGGGAAGAAGTGAGAGTTGTTATGGAGCAGATTGTGTAGCTGAATGCTCCAAGTTCAAATTCTAGGCAAACATTTCTCTTGAGAGAAATTGGTGGAATATGTCAAATTGAGGGAAGTGGTTCGATAGACATTTCCTAGATTCACTTATTACTAAAGTGAGTATCTGAATTATTTAGGGGTTAAATCACAAGGTTTGAAGACAGTGATGATGTCACGGGCTCCTGGTTGAGATTCCAACATCTCTAAGTTTTTGTTTTATTCCTTATTTCACTTTTAGGATTTACAACAAGCTCCTATTAAGGCAATCTAAATAAAAATTACATTATCTTAAATTAAAACTGTTGAAATTCAAGTCGTTTTATAAGAGTTATTTATTTCTTTGGTTCAGAGAGTATCTTTCTTATCGTCTCTTTTTATTGACTAGAATATTCATCATGGAATTTACAATTATAGCATGCGATTCATGTCAGTCTACTTCTCATGCAGATGTAAAATCTGATTATTTTTATAATAGCTGGAAGTTTGTTGACTTTTCTACAAATCATCGATGATAGATATCAGGATGCAGTCAATTTTTAAGTTTTTTATTGCTAATCTTTCAACCCAAACTTGTGGGTCATCATCAGGGCATGTTTACAGCACCAAAGGTCTTTAAGTACTGTGAGCAGCAATAAAGTACTCAAGTACAGCAGGACTTGAACACCTTTGGTGCTGGAAACATGTCATGATGATGACCCACAAGTTTGGGTTGAAATGTTGACAATAAAAAATTTAAAAATTGACAACGTCCTAACTATCTATCACCTACGATATTTTTATAATCAAAATTAATTCAACAATCTCATTTGTTTATTAGCTTCTTATTTCTTGTTTAGCCTCATCAGAAATTGATTAGAGTGTAGTATAAGGATTGAAATATTCTATAAAGATTTTTAAAAAGAATTATCACGGTTTCAACAAGATGCATTCCACAATTTTTATATTCTGGTGTTAAATAAAGTTTTGAAAATATATTTTTATTAATTAAATATGAGGTTTGATTTTATAATTATCAGAAGTTTTACTATAAAGAATTTTTTTATGGTGATGAATCTTTGACATTGTAGTAATGAATGTCTTTTATTAAAATTTAGACAATTTACTGAACAAAATTTTTTTAAAAAGATTATTTGGCATTTTTAAATGTATTAACCATTGACATACAACTTATTAACTTTAACAACTAAATTAATCAAATTTGAACTATATAAGAAAGAATATAAGTCACACGTTGGACTCCTATGCAACAGGGGAGAATGAATTTTTCTCAATATTCAAATGAATTTATGCAAAAGTAAAATATGCCTTTAAATTAGTAATTAGTATAAGTTTAAAATAGTTTGTGTTAGTTAAATTTAGTTGAAAATGATAATATTTATAATAATAGTGTAACTTCAGAAACTCAAAATGAGAATCTGGTGGTAGTTTTTAAGTTTAAGCAATATTTTTGAGTGTATAAACATAAGCACACTCATCCCAAAACTAACGTCTCTTAGAGCACAGGCCAAACATAAATATTCTCATTATATTCCAGTTCTATAGACCTCTAGATATTTCTATAGACCAATCAGCCTTTTCAATACAATGTAACCATAAGCTAATGAGGCTTGTTATTTGGAAATAATCTTTTTATAATGATAAAATAACTTCCTGTTCCTACTTCCAATGCTGTATCATTAGTAATGAAATTTACCCTTTAATTTTAGTCAATGTTTTAGTCTAAGTTGTATGATTTCTTCATTAAGACAATTTGATAGCGACTCAGAAAATGATATAAACATGGGTGTTATTAAATGATACCTTTTAGATCCTCGTGACCTTATCTCAATCTATCCTTTGTGCTTTGAAGATAGCATACAACTTCGGCCAAAAAGTTGGTCAGCTATAAATAATTAAGTTCACTAAAATGTCCAACTTATATTTGGCTGTAACCCCCTCCCTCCAACTCTGTCATCTCCTTGATTTCATCAATGATCAACTGTATCTTTATTACTCAGTAGAGTCAAATTTATTTTTTAAAAGTAGAATAAATTAAAAAACAGACTAAAAGTTGGTCAATGAAAAAGTGATTTGAATAAAACTTTCAAGCCTATTTCAAGAAGTTTTTAAAAATTGTTCTAAAATAAAATTCATCAGTTAATAAAAACATTTTAATATAACGATAATTCTGAAACTTAAAAATAAAATCTTTCATTATGATACAATAATTAAAACAACTCATCATAGTTAATATCAATTACTATGCTAAAATAGGAATAAAAAACAATACACCAAACTGAACAATGCTTTGAAAAAATAGAAACTTATTATTCCATCCATTTCCAGGATTTGTTTTTAATATTATTTAATCTTTATATATATAAATACATACACATATATTTAGTGAACTAAAATGTTTGAATTTGAGAATACCTTAAACCGAAATTTTATGTCCATCTCGAGATAAAAACCAACAATTCAATGACAGTAAAATTAAAGTTACTTAGAGAGAAATGATAGAATACATGCTGAAATGATATGATTTATTTAGTCATTTTTAAAAATAGGAAATAGCTAAATTGCCAAAATAGCATTTAAAAGCTTAATTTTTCTTAGAAAGATTTAATGATTGCTTAAGTTATTCAACTTTTTTGCCTTTGGTAGAATAGAAAAAAAAAGAAAGAAAGAAAATAAATGCTCAAATTACATAACACTAAGCAATGAATTTACAATAAGTGAAATATCATTTCTCTTTTAAAAAAATGAACAAGAATATTCTCTACACCATTGGCATTTCTTCTATAACAGATTACTATTTACAGAAACAAAGCTTTAGCTAAAGTTATAAACTTTATTTATTTTATTGTTGATTTATTTACTTGTTGATTAGCAACTGCAAATACAAAATACATAGAAGAAGATTATATCAGAATTTGCGCCTTTCAATGTTACTCTACCTAAATCTACGCTATAACTTGTCTGCACTGAATTCTACAAAATACTATTGAGCTATGGGAGTTTTTATTAATTATAATATGCCATGCTTTCAAATTTTGTATTCATAAACACGAATATTGCTTACAAGTTTAATTTACTTTAAAAGTTTTAACAGCTAACTACAAAACGCTGTACATAGCTACATTTCTGCACTTTCATACCTTTTTTTTCTTTCTTTACAGGCACTGAAACAAAATTGTTAGATAGGTTTTCTAACTTTCATGTAACTTGCTATAGTAAAAAATAAAAACAAGCTTAGAGGAGAAATTAATCAAACTGTTTCTTATTATTGCTTAAAATAATAAGACTACTAACAATAATCATATTTTGCTATAATTTTTTCTAACTGAAAAATGATTTATTTAACCTATATAATTCTATCTATTGAAGAATTATGGCAGTAAAAAAAAAAATAATAAAAAGTAAAAAATAAATAAAACTCCAAATCTTCTGTAGGAATGATGGCCATGATGAACAGTAAATATATTCTTGAATATATTTGTAGATCATAAGTTGATATTTTAATACTTAATTGATTGTTCAGTAACCACAAAAGTTGTAATGTTGAGGTAATGAATCATTGTGAATAAATGTTAACAAAGTAGGCAGATAATATGAGAAAAGACTTGTAAATGAAAATAATTTAACCTAATAATTTATTTAACTTTCTCAATATCACTAAGTACTGATCAATGTCAGAAAATAAGTTTTCCAAAGAATATTTTAATAATAATGGTTACACATGGATTGAGAACCCAAAGACAAGATTTTATTGGTGCCCTCTTTCCATCTTCCAAATCAGCTAGTGGCTGCATGTTCACCATTCTGCATTCTCCTGGTGACTTCGACTTAACTAAATCTAGTGTTTTATTAAAAGACAGGATTTTTATGAAATTAAAATTAATTCCACCCTTAATTAACAACAAATATACTTTTTTTTCTTTTTAGGAGAGCTGTGTTTTGATATATTTAGAGATTCAGCTGTGTATCTACAAATTGAAACTGCAAACGGTTTCACAGGTATGTTTTAGGATTAAAACCTATGTAAAATACTATAAAACCATTAAAGAGGACAAGAAAACATAGGATAATAAACTGTAAGACAATGACACACTATATAAGGAGAGATCAACTACGTCATGAGACCATCCACCATATCAATCTCTTATAAACAATGAATAAACCTTACTATTCATACATTCAGCAAGGATGCCTTAAAAAATTTAGGTGAAGGAAATCATTCACACAAATTGATTATATGTGAAATCATTTAAATAACAAATTTCGCACCTCGAACAAACACCACATTTTCAATCAACAATTCATGAATCAAAGTAATCATTTTATTTTTTAAATGGGATTGGACAACTAAGTTTCTCTCATAAAATCTGCCTTTGTTTGCAGTTCAAAGTAAAATATAACATGTTTTATTCTTAAAATATAAATAGAATACTCATTGAAAATTATTAAAAAAAAATTTAAAGAATATTTTATTTTTTGGTTTTATTCCAAACTAATTAAATGAAGTGATAAAAATGAATTTATTTGATCTCAGCGGAATGTACTCAGTTAACTAGAAATTTAATGTTTCTGCGTGATTTCATTTTCTTAATGTAATGAATAAATGATGGTTTTCTATATCTAAAACTATTTTAGCTTTGAATGAACTTCACTAAGTGGCCAAAATATTTTTAATATTTTAACATACTAATGTAAGCGATGAAAATAAAACAAGAAATCGATTGAAAAATTATTCTAACATTCACAATCAAATAAAAGCTAAGGCTTACCATCTTCACCTTCTTCCTCCCCTTCCTCTTCCTCCGTATCTGTACTTTTGCTTTTACCTAATGATTTCAACTTCTTCTTTTTAGCAGCTGCTCTTCTCCTTGCTGTAAAATTTGTTAAATTCAAATTTCTATACTATGAGGAATAATTTGTGGAAATGTAATTAATATTCAAAAACCAACTTGAAGTTGATTTATATCGTCTATTTGGATTAAGGCACTACAATTATAATTATGGTTTCAGAAATACAACTGATTAAATAACATGATACTAAAGAAGCCATCATCTGAGTGAAATATTTATACCAATTTACAATATGATTAATCAGCCATTGGAGCCTGCTAGAGTAAAATTTATGTAGGTACAATTTTTTGAGATATTGATTGTTTTGAACATATTATAGCAAAAAAAAAAAATTGTTTTATAACAACTAATTCATAAAATTAAGTATTTTATGTCAGCAATTTTCATGGATTCCTGTATATCAGTAAAAATAAAAATACAGCTACAATTAAATTACAATTATAATAAATATATTTATATGTAAATATAAAAATTTATTTTTACCTTCAATAATATGCATCTTTTCTTCCTCTGTTGTTCTTTCCTCTGCCAATATAACTTCTTCTATAAAATTAAAAATACCTTAAATATAGACTGTATTTTTTATTGTATGTTAAATATTTAAATTAAAGATATTTGTTAAACAACACCTATTGAAATATCGTTATTCCCATTACTGATCACATATTTTAGTGAGAACAGTTTTAAGCCATTTTAGCATTATAGAATGAGATTAGAAATTTGGAAGTCAAGTATTTATTTAACATTTAATTAATTAATTATTAATCAATCCTGCATTTTTAATAAAAATCGAAACTATAACATTATGCTCTTTTGGTTTTTGTACTTGAATAATTAAACAGATTAAATAATTAGATGATTGAACTTCAAATGATAACAATAAAATCAATTAGTATTGGGAAGGAAAAAGAATGATAATAATAAAAAATAACCTTAATGCTAAATGTAATGTTTAAACTAGGGAAGTTATAATGTTCGAAGTTTTCAAAACACATTAAACTACATAATTTATATTTTTCAAATATGGTTTACTTCATTGGGTTTCTTATTGATATTATTATTATAATTAACCTTAGGTTAAAAAAGACATGGACCTTAAAGATTTTTCTAGATAGTCATAAGATAATGTAGCCAGTTTAAGAGTAATGTATAAAAAAACATTGTAACGTTAAATATAATTCCAGGAGTTAAATATAAACTATCTTTAGAGTAACAATTTTTCACAAAGCTTTCCTTTAAATACCAAATTGAAATAAAATTTAAGCTAATTGAGATGTAATAGTTATGTTAATTAAATATATTATTATCATTATTATAAAACTACGTGGTTTTATGAATATCAATAATTATTTTATCTGTGAAATATAGGTTGAAAAACTGAAGAACACTCCAAATCACATGAACTATAGCTCCTACACAAGGATATGGCAGACCAAGAATTAATTTACATGCCACTAAATTGAAACTCTGTCCTAGTAAGTTATAGATTAGCAAAAATAAATTTATGGATTTCCATTTATATATTAATTCTTGCTTTCATCGAAATTATTTCCAACAACTTTTACATTTTTTGAAAACAAATGTATTATTGTATTTATCGCAATCTGTTTCCATTTTGCTACTGCCATACAATTGTGAATAAACTTAACTTATAACAATTAAAATAAAAAGGAATTAGGAAATATAAAGACAAAATTTTAAGCAATAGTAAAATATATTATTTAACACTATAGGATAGGGTTTGCAGGAGGCAAAATGAACTAGTAAGATAAGAACCTTAGCAATTGTGCCTCCATATTAATTAATAACAAAGCAAAAAATAAATACATTATTAAAACAAATAATAATTGTTTTCTTTTTGGAACTTTCAACACTAAAAAAATATCACGATAGCTGAAGTACTTTTGTGTGATACTTAGAAACAAACCTACACTAATAAACACAGGACTTAATCACATTAATTTCCTAATATATTGCTATCAAATTAGGAAATATAAAGACAAAATTTTAAGCAATAGTAAAATATAATATTTAACACTATAGGATAGGGTTTGCAGGAGGCAGAACGAACTAGAAAGATAAGGACCTTAGCAATTGTACCTCCATAAGACATATTGCCCAAAATAAGTAAATAAGTAGAGTTATTTTATACTCATTAGATAAGATTCATATTTTTTTATTATTTTTTTTTTTTACAAGTTTCTTGATACAATTAAGTTAAATATAATTAGTTAAAATAAGTTAAGTTAACATATTGAACTACGAAATATCTATACATGAAAAATTTTCAGAAAAATTCAAATTTTTATTAGAAACAAATTCCTTTAAAGTGAAAATATTGTTTATAAACTTTTATGTTAATTACGGCTGTTTATTTTTTCCTATGAATAGAATCAATGACCATCGAACCCATGGACTAAAGTATAAGTGAGACCCCTACTCAATAAAGTACAGTATAGTACCTCTATTGGTAAGCTTTTTAGATTATAAATCTCGTTCTCATAAATGAAAGTAAATACAAAGTGTACTTTTCATAGTGATTAAGTTTAATTTAATATGAATTATATAAATGTTAGTAGTCAATACTTTCATTAAATAATTTATATAAAATATTATTCATGTTTATTTCATATTATAATTAATTCAAGGTATAAAATCAAAGCTCTATACCTGCTTTGCATATCCATTCTACATAGCCATTTAACTCCCTTTCCAGTTGATGCTGTCTCCTTAATTTCAGAAAGCTTTGCCTATTTTCCACCTTCTCTCTTTCTTTTGCGAATTCACTAAATAAAATAAAGCATATACTACTCTACTCTGAAAAATAACTATCATTAACATAATTACATTAGCATCCAAATTTAAAGGATATAATTTTTTTTTTCATTAATCATTTAAGCAGAGGCTACAGACAACATTATTTATTCAATAACTCTACATTTATATACCTTATAAAGCCCTTCAAGTTACAATTAAAATACAATAATGGTCTACTAATTTTTTATTAAATTTTTAATATTCTAAGAGTGGATTGTTAATCGTGAGGAAGTAAATGCTATTGAAGGTTTTCCTAAATGCCTACTCGTCAATATATACCTGCTTGACAAATCCATGATAGATAAGAGTTCAGCATATTATTTATTTGTTGCTTAGTACGCTGCTTGTAAAATGCTGCTCTTCTTTCAACTCTAGTTCTTTCATTTGAAAACTCGCTGCAATTTAGGGCTTTAATTGACTTTAATTTAGAAAAAATAGGTGATAATAGCATTTATCACTAGATTACAGTTAGTAACAGTAACTTAAAATTGTCATGAACAATGAAAATTAGTAGGTAAAATATTTAAGTGCAACAATTTTTTTTTTGTCTTTATTTTAATAAATTATTAAAATAAAACACCTCATTGTTATAATTTAAAATTTGCTTGATATAATACTCTATAGATTATAAACAACGAATATTTCATTAAGAGTTAAAATTTCATTAAAAATAAAATAATCAAGATAAAATTCTCTCATCTTAAGCAATAGGACATATTTTGATAGTTTCAAATAAAATATACTTACCCACTAAGAACACCAAGAACTAAGTTGAGCATGAAAAACGAACCCAGAACAATGAGTGGAACAAAATAAAGCCAATTAAATGAGCTACCAATGGCATCATTCATCTGGAAATAAATAACGGAATTAATGGATAAGAATCACATAATTGAATAAATTTTTATCAGATATACAATAAGACTTTTCCATAGTGGATACCTATGGGGAATCAAACTTTTTATGCTATGGAGAGATGTCTGTAATAAAGAAAATTAAAGGGAAAGAAAAATTATAAATTAGCAGATTAAAATTGTAATTCATGAATAATGCTAATTTTATATTTATTTATAATAATATATTTTTTATAATATGTGGAAAAATGAGCAATAATAAAATTTTTGAACATCACCACATCTAATTTTGTTAGAAAACCTTTGTTCATGATTTGAATAGGAAGAAATCTGCTATAAAGAAGTGTCCGCTCATAGAATTTTCGTAGTATGTATTTTGTAATAAGAAAAATTTTCAATCATAATATTATTTGCTCATTTTTAATACTTCTCAAGGGAAAAAAAAAAAAATTAAAAAAGAAAAAGAAAGATATTTTTTTTAATATAATCGAGAAGGCAGTGGATCAGCTGATTGGAAAGTTGTGCTCTCAGTATTTGCCTATTTTTTAGTGGAATCTCTTTGATTTTTCATTGAATACATCTTACGTGTACATCAGAGCAGTAGATATTGCTGTTTGATATATTTTTTTATATATTTTTTTTTATAATTTTTTTTTTTCTTTTTTCTTTCTTTCTTCTCTTATTGTATGCATTATAGTCACCAAGTGATGTCCAGTAAGGTGCCCAAGAGAACTCGGTCAGACGGTTCGTTAGTTCATCAGCCAAACAAAGAACTCGTCGGCTGCCTACGAGAAACATCTCCAACAACAAAATTGAACACTTCAGAACCAGAACCTCAGCCACAACCAGGAACTTCTTCGCAAGAAATGATCGAAGAATCCCCTTTTTTTATTCCAAACCCCTACCAAGTGCTTCATTATGATCGAGAAGTAATGGAGTCTGCAGCTATACCCACAGAACCAAGGCCTCCTCTGATATTTGTGAAAAATATCAAAAACTTCCAGTTGTTCTGCACCCAACTAAATAAAATCTGCTCTGGCAGATATTCGTGCCTTAACAGGACCAACGATACAAAAATAGTACCAGATACTGCTGAAACCTACCAAATAATAGTGAAGTACCTCTCAGAAATGAATGCGAATTTTCATACGTACCAGCTTAGGCAGGAGAGATCATTACGAGTAGTAATAAGAAATTCACACTCCTCAACCCCAAATGAAGTGATAAAAGAAGAACTAGCGGCGCTTGGTTTCAAAGTACGTCAGGTAACCTACGTTCTGAAGGAGAATAAGGAGCAGCCTGGAATAAAAAATAAAGTTCCACTACCTTTATTTTTCATGGATCTAGAGCCATCACCCGGTATTGAGAAAATATACGATATCAGAAGATTATATTACACAATGGTGAAAGTAGAGAAACCATACTCCAAGAGAGAAATCGTGTAGTGCCATAATTATCAGGCATATGGCCACACAAAGACTTATTGTCACCATCTGCCATGTTGCGTGAAATGCGGTGAACAGCACAAATCTGTGAACCGATACAAGATCCTGCAGTGTGTGCACTATGCCTGAAGGGACACCCGGCCAACTACAAAAGATGCCAAATTTACAAGAATCTCAAATCCAGACACCAGAAAAACCGGATTCAAGATGAAGCAGGAGAGAGAGAAGAGAGAGAGTCTTCTAGAATAGTAAACAGAATCATTTTCCCAGCTACTTAGAGGTAAGAACTCAACCGATAACTGTCAAGCCCTGCTGCAACAACAACCTCAAAATCTTATTGATCCGAATATACCTAAACATCAACAACAAATTCATAATATCCCTCCTCCTTCAAGTGCAACAGATCTCACCAGCTTGTTGGCATCTTTCCTCACCGATTTCAAATCCTTAGTTACTCCACTCATATCACTCCTCACAAATCTCGTATCTCACCTCATCCCTCCTTTAAAAAATCCTTAATGACTCACATCCCAAAACCCATATCCATTCTCCTTTGGAATGCGAATGGTGTTAGAAACCACGTTGACGAACTAACAGCTTTATTCCTAGAGCACTAATTACGGAAACATGACTGATCAGAAAACAGCATTTAAAAATACCTCAATACAAAACATACAGTACTGACCATCCAAAGCACATGTCGGTACTGCTGTTATTGTACACCACTCCCTTTCTCATCACCAGCTCCCAATACCGACACAAGATTTCCTATAATCCACCGCTATCGTAATCAAAACCTTCTCCTTTACCATAGCATCAGCATATTGCCCTCCTAACAGATCTATATCCAATATCAAGTTCAGTTCTCTTCTCAACTCCTTAGGACATCACTTCATCCTGGGTGGAGATTTAAACGCTAAACACCATCAATGGGGTTCTAGAACCACGAATTCTAGTGACAGAACATTGTTATCTGCACTCAATTCCCGACGTTTCAGTATCCTTCCTCCTTACTCACCTACTTACTGGCCCACAGATCCTAACCGCAATCCCGTTATCCTTGATTTTTTCATCCACAGTGGCTTAGGTCCCCTCAATCATTCCCTTACCCGTCTTGCTGAACTATCCTCAGATCATAGTCCATTATTACTCCAATTATCTCTAGCTCCTATTCCTAAGTCGTCTCCACAGTCCTTCATCAGAGACCCAGTTAAGTGGAAACTCTTTCACCAAATCCTTTCCAATAAAATTGACCTCAAAATAACCCTGAAAAGCCCAGACGACCTTGACAATGCCGTACACTTTTTTACCATCACTATCCAAAAAGAAATTTGGGCTACTTCCTCTAAAAACCACTCCTCAAGAACTCCGACTAAAAATAAGTTACCTCAACACCTCATAGACCTACCTATCCGCAAATCACCTGGATACGACCTCCTTATCTCTCAGATCCTTAGACAACTCCCTCCTAAAGCTGTCATATTCCTTACTTACATATACAATATCATCCTACGTACCACCCACTTTCCTCTTTTATGGAAACATTCTACTATTATCCTATTCCCAAATTCAGGCAAATCTCCCAACAGCTTAACTTCCTACAGACCCATTAGCCTACTTCCAATCCTTTCAAAAATCCTTGAAAAGATCCTCCTGAAAAAAATCCCACCCTTTATAGAATCTCAAAATCTTTCTTCACACCAGTTTGGATTCCGTTCCCAACACTCCACAGTCCAACAAGGACTTCGAGTGGTCGATCATATTTCCGCAGCTCTGGAAAGCAAGCAATATTGCTCGGGTGCATTTCTGGGCATAGCTCAAGCTTTTGACCGGGTATGGCACGCCGGGCTTCTTTCCAAATTTAAAATTCATCTTTCTCAGTCCTTATATTATACCTTAAGGACATCTTCAATGTACCCTTTCTAAGTAACCAACAAAACCCTACACCATAACCTTAATATCCCATTTGTCCTAGACCTTATCCCAGCAAAATTCATCAGAACCTTAACCATCATCCAAATCCCTTTGTACAATCCCTATCCAGCACCACCCATTTCCTATAATCCTCCAAGAAGGTTAAAACGGCAGTGGCCCCGCGACAATTTATAGTTTGTAAATATTGGAGTTCTGGCAATGGCCAGATTCTCCACTCATGACATGAGTGTTGTGGCTAATGCACTCTTGCTCAATCTCCACTGGGTTTAGCCCCAGTGACGCGGTTGAGAGAGAAGTGCAGGGATCTCCTGGAGTCATACTTTTCCCTCCACAGTTGGAGGGACAAGTCTGGTTTGGAGTTCTCTCGCCAGATTGTAAATATTGTATATAGGTATGTATGTGTTCTTTTTATTTATTTGTTTTTGGGTTGTTTTGTTCTTATTAATTGTATATATATTATTTTTCTGTAGAATTTATTTTATTTATTGCACATAGAGTGTGAATGTGATCTCTGAGCACTATTATAAATATCCTTGAGACAGATTGTAATATTTTTCAATAAATAAGTTAAAAAAAAAAAATAAAATATATATAATCAATCTTGACAAATTGGAAGATTGCTACACCATCATTTTTCTACATCAAGAATAATTATTGTGGATTACTTCCTTTTGAAAAATTTATTTAAATTCTTGTTCACTTATTACATTGACGTCTCAAAGTTCTACCACCTATTCAAGATTATAATACAATTTTATGAGATAATTAATAATTAATATATTTGAATTAACTGGATAGATAAATGAAAACTGTAATGACCATTTAATATATAATATTATATATTATTTAACAATAATATGTTTACATATGCACCATAATACATAAAAATTATTTCAAAAAAAAAAAAACTAAGGTGTGTGCTTTAGATCACACAATGTAAGTGAAAACATCAACAAGGTGAGACTAAAAATATGAAATATAAATGATAAATAATAGCTCATTGCAAAGAAGATGAAATGCTGAACATTTCCCTCGCTTACAGTATACAGATCCAATTTTTAGTATCTGAAATATTTTAATCCATATGTTCAACTAACCTTATCATTTGGTTTTCAACACTATTTTTTCCTTTTTGCATCCCTAACACGACATGGCGTTAAGATACAATGTTGAATTATAGCCTATTACAGAGAGTTTGAAATGCTGAACAATTTGTTCACATACAGTATGCAGGCCCAATTTATATTTTCTGAGATATTTTAATCCATAGGTAAAAATATTTTAATCAGTTGATTTTACCCGAGCATTAATGCCGAATAAATCCAGACGGATCAATCTAATTCAATCTCCACAAAAAGAGCAAAACGTGACTAAAGAAGTTTTCATTTCAAAACAATATCATTATATACAAAATTAAAAGAATTAAGATGGCGGTTTGATTTAATATTGGCGCAGTATTTTTGCATAACAGTTAATTTGATTTTCATGCATAATTTTATATTATTTACAGTTAAAATTAAATAATTTAAAAAAAAATCAAAGCATCAATTCAAAATTAATATTAATTGGTTCGGATGTTTTCTTTCTTGGTTTAGTCTGTGCTCTGCACTGTGTCTTGGTCACATCCGTATTTAGAATTATAGAGTCTGGAATTGTGAGCCATCAATTTATTTGCACCATTTTTTTGTTATATATATTTATTAAACTCTGTTATGGAGAAAGTGCCTCAAAATAATAACTGTGTTATGCTCATTATAAATTGCAACAATTGATGGCTGTAGATAGTAACAAATCAATAAATTACTGCTTTTCTACACAAAGTTATAACATAACCCATGAGGATGTAAGGATTCTGTTAAAAAATATTAAAATATTTTTTTTGGCATTCTTATGCAAATCAAATAATTGAATAGAAGAGACATATGAATTAAAAGGATGCAAGTGTCTACACCTTATGAGTTTATAATAGTTCTCTAATATGTTAATAATTGAGTGAAAATTCAAATTTCCGTGAACTCCTCTAAGACGTCTAATTATCTAAAGAAGGTAATAAACTCATTGAAAAGAAGGGAAAAAAAATGATATAAATAAAAAAAAATAATGATGTAAATAAAAACCAGAAAGATATGTTTCAACAGGAGAGGATTGATTGAAAGCAGAGTGCACAGTCGGCTCACATTTTTTTAACCGACCTTACTGCAGTAAGCACCCCGACCCATTATCACTGAGCACTAACCAAGCATGTACTCACTTTGAAGTACTGATAACTCTCGGATCGTGCTGTCATTTGGAATGATACATCAGAGCAAAACAGGGTGGATCAATGCTCTTGCATGCTTGAATATATGAGAATTTATAGGGGTGATCATAAACTGACTTCAATGGGTTCAAAACTCACAGAACCAAGTCCAGTGCATTGGAGCTGTTACTAGACTGCTCAGTGTGACAACCAAAACTCTATTCTACTTGGAAGCATACAGATAATACTATTTTTACTTTCACTTATCTATATATGAAATATATAGTAAGGGACATATATACATTGCAATAATTTTGAATCTGAGTTTTCAACGAAAATATATGTTTGAGGTTCCCTCATTCCAAATTACCAAGGCTACACTTGTTTCATGACCTACTTGAATTAATTTTATGAATGAAAATATTAATTTTTCAGTTTTATTTACAGAAAACAAACTATCCTAATATATGAAATTTATTGCATAATAATAATTTTTCTAAATATTACATAGTAACTGGAAAAGAAAACAATATCTATAACTTAAAATTTTACATGAAATTTGAAAACTATACAATTAACAAAATACTACTATCCTTTACTTCAACCAATTTATTCATCTTACTAAAACAAATACAAAATCATTAATACTATCAATCTACCTTTATGCTAAACAATCATCATTTTTATATACATACTATGTGCCATTGAATAATATAATATAGGCATTCAAACTATAATTACTGGAAATAATCTTGTCACTGATATCATGATATTGATTTTAAAAATAAAACTACCTAATACACAAATAAAAAAAAGGAACATACCCAGTATAAAATAGATGTCCAGCCTTCCATGGTAATACATTGAAAGACAGTCAACATGGCAAAACCTATGTTGTCAAATGAGGTAATGCCGTTGTTCGGTCCTTCCCATTCTTCCAGGCATATTGAAACATTGGCATTGCACACATAGGCCCCTAAAAATTATTTTTTGACATTAACTTAATTTAGAAACCATGCATTATTAATCAAAATAAATAAACAATTTAAGTTCTAGCGACTGCAATTAAATATGATTTTATTAGACATTAGTATAACTAATCAGATGGTGGTGAAATATTTATAAATTTGTCTATCCTAAAGTCTCAAGATATTAGAGCACCCTTTGGATCAGAACATCAGAACATTGAACATATGATGAACTTTGTGTAAAAAAAAAAAAGAAGAAGAAACTATGTGTGAATTGGAATTATAGCAAGTATGCAGATTGTGAACTATTAAATGGTCTGCCATGAAATGGTGTTATAATTTGTTGTGAAACTTTATGAAAAATAAAAAACTACTTTGAAACATTTAATGATCACATGAAATTATGGAAGCTCTAATGCTTCATAGCAGGGATCTCCAAATTATGGCTGCAGGATCTGGCTGCCAAAGCTAGCCCACAAAGTTTCTTTGATTACAGGGGAACATTTTAACAATAATTTAAAACAATTTGAAGTTTAGTAAATCACTCAAACACAACGTTACTACAAATTTATTGAATGAATAGTTTCTCTTAGAAAGTTCATTTGACAACTAAAGTGTCATTTATATAACAAGATTTTTTAAATAAAAAATCATGGCCCCTAGAACTAAGTAGAGGTCTCAATGCGGCTTGCCGGCCAAAAAGTTTGGATATCTCTGATCCATAGGTTTGTTAATACAACCCTACAAGATTATTTTACAAGTCTCAAAAATTAGATATGTTGAAATTAATTTTTGTCTAATCAGAGGTTGGTGTCTAAGTTAAACTGAAAGATATTCCATCGATTCAGATATTAATCAGAACCAAAAGCAGCAGAAAAATATATTGAATTTTTTCATATTTGAAGAATAAGGATTATTTAGAGATTGCCTAGCAAAGTCTGGAAGAGTTCCACACTTTTATAATACCTTAATAACTAAACTTGAACTTTAGTACTTGTATTCGAATAATAAAATATTGAGTGTGTATTTGCATAATAGATGATAAATTTAAATAATTAATGAATTGCTATGCTCAAGGATTACTAAAGAGCAAAAAACAACAAGAAAAATGTTTACTATTTTAAACACAGCAAATTAAAAATAATAACTACATTACTAAAAAGCAAGGACACATTTCCTAATAGGTAAGAAATTTAGAGTTCTATCTAAAAGTATGTCATTAAATTATTTGCATATTATAATAGAGTTGCAACATATCTTTGTGAAATCTGGAAGGGACTTTAACATCGTGAAAGTTTCTCTCATAGTTTCTCTACAAACTAGAAGTAAAATCATCCCTTAAAATCTTGATATTGAGGCCAGAATATTTATAATTGTTAGAAAACAGAAGAGTAGAAAAGTTCATAATTGTATTTCGAAATTGGATTTTCATATATATTAAAAAAATTCTCAAATTTAAAACATTATGATAAAAAATATACAATAATTCCTTTTAAAAACAATATTAAATTATGATTAGTTTGAGTGAAGATGAAAAATAGGATTAAACTATATTTACACCTGTTATGATTAGTTTAATTCATTTATTTACCAGGTGGAGCTTCAGTCTTATTATCTGTGTTGCAGGGAGTTTCGGAATCACCTTCAGGGACAACCTTCATTAAGTCTTCCAGGTTGTAACAGGTTTTGTGCAATGCTCCTGAGTAAAATTCCAACCCAATAATGGCAAATATCACAATGGCAAACAACACTAATAAACCAATCTGGAGTAAAGGGGCCATCGCCTTGATTATAGATTTCAACACAACCTGCAGACCTGCACAAAGTGATCTATTAGTAAGTACCCTTAGGTAAAACAAATAATCATAATTTAAAATAACAATTTAAATATCAATAGTCCCGTTTATAAAAGAGATTTTATGTTATAAATATTTTCATTGTATTTAGACCACGGTCAAATTGTCACATTTTAATTAAAAAATTTAAGAATACTTTTGATAAAGACAAATTAAAATACACCATTTCCATGATTGAAAATAACGGATTTTTTACCCCAGGAATTCTAAAGATAAATTACTATTTGGGCAAAATATTAAATAGAAAAAGTAACTTATCAACCTTCGATGAAAGTTTCAGAGAAACAAATAAAAATGGAATAACATTAATTAAATAATCATTTTGCACAAAAATGTATATGTTATGTTTTAAATTGCATTAATCACATAAATATTAAAAAATAAATAAATACTAAAATAGATTTACTATGGTATTTTTCTAAACTATGGCTGTTAATTAAGACTATCAGTTTAACCTAATCTATAAGTGGTATAAGATATTATGCATAGGGTTAACTAAAGCAATTAAGGCTTATTCATTTTTTAGGTTTCCAAAATACTAGTTATTCGTAATTTTTCTTTTTTTTTCTTTTTTTTTTTTTAATAAAAGAATACAAAATTGACTCAGGGATAATTAGAGTTAGCAGCTTTCAATTTGATTGATATTTATTTTAAAAAATAAATTAATTTCTGGTAACGGTTGTACTTGAGCTTTTTTTACCTTTTATCTTTCTTAAACTTACTTGGGATGCCGGATACGAGTTTGAGGGGCCTGAGTACTCGAATTGCCCTCAATGTGCGAAGATCCATATCTAAATCGTTTGTGGGGATAAGAGTGATAAACCTGTGGAACCAATAGTGCTATCACTACATAACAAACACTAATCTACTTTCTACTCTAAATACTAAAAAATATTATACCAAAAAAGATAAATCACAAATTCACTCATGTGCATGCCTTCCACTATTAAAAATATTTTCCTTTTATAAAGATATTGGATTGATAATAGTTTCTTTCATTTAAGTTATTATTTCTAACAGCTCTGTTATTCTTAAATGATTAAATAATAACATTATAATGATGATCATAGTCTTATGAAAAAGTTAGACAAACAAATTTAGGTTTGTTTTAATTGGAGTAAATTCTAAATATACTGTTATATTATAAATTATGTTGAAAATATTTGAATCGAGTTGCTCGCCTTTATCATAACATTAAACAAAAATTTTTTTTTTTTTAAATAGCCTGGTATATTTACATTATATATTCTCTTAATTGAATTATAATGGAACAAATCAGTTTGTAACTAAACAATATTAAATATATCATCAAGACTACTATCTAAATTTTAATAACTATTCTACAGTATTTCACATACAGAACTCACCACACAAGAGACCCAAAATATGATACTATGATGACAAATGATGCTATGCTAACTAAGGATAAATAGATATTAATAACACTAGAACTAATAATTAATTTCAAAGTAGTCGCTAGCTGGAACTAATGATACAAAAACATTTAAAAGCTTGTCGGAAATGTTGCTGAAATTAGTGTAGTGTAGACTATGTTGAGAGTTGAAATAAATTTAATAATGAGTTTTATTTATAAGAATAAACACTTCCACTATAACTAATAATTTTAAAATATAATAATTGTTGTACAACTAACTATTAGTTGAAATGATTTGTTTTCTATTGCATTTACTAAGCTTATTTGGATTTCAAATTTTCTAATAAACCAATATCTGGTTATTCTGGAAGCTTTACTTGCGGCAACGAAGTGAACACTGAGATAACTACTCTATTCTAGAGAGCTATATACTATTGTCCGAGATGACAGCTATTATGTCGGTAACTGGATCCGGTCCCTTACTTGGGATTCGGGAGACAAGTTTGAGGGGGCGAAGGACTCTGAAGGACCTCAGCATTCTCAGGTCCACGTCGACGTTTGATTCTGCGAATATTGTCATTGACCTAAACATTGACACAAGTCACCCTACTAGGTTTAATTATCGCAGCACCGCACTCCTCCAAATCAAAACAAAGGCAATCTGCTCAAATTTCAAGCGATTTAATAATTTTTAAAGTTTGTGATATGAATGTTGATGGTGAATGAAAATGAAAAAGGCATAATATGAAAAAAAGCAAACTTACCCTGTTACTACTACAAAAAAATCCATGATGTTCCATATGTTCCTAAGGTATGAGCCGCGATGAAGTACAAAACCTAATGCTAAAATTTTAAGGGATGCTTCTACACAAAATATGCCCAAGAAGTAGGCCTCCGTTTGCTCCTAAAACCAAAAATAAAACAATTTATTAATTTGAATGGCTCTTAAGTAATGACTAAGACTGAGTTAATAACTGCTAAAGTTATATTTCTAGTTATATTTTTCACCAAGAGTGCTAGTGCTAAGTAACAAATAAATAAAAATTAACAATTTAAGTCAATGCTTCACCATTATTAATGAAATGTCAAATTGGTTTTAATATTATAAAAAACATATTTTATTTTGAAAAGTTGAAGATATAAAATAATGAAATTAGAAATATACTGTCTCCATCAGCCATACAAAATTTGATAATTATTGAATGTATTCTAAATTTGATAGTATGAACATCACTGTTTGATTAGTATGAATATCATCAGTTAGCACTATTCCATTATAATTATATTCTTGGATATAACAATCATGGAAAAATCATTTGACAGAAGAATTCATCTGAAATTAAGTTGTACTAACAGTTTCTATATTAAAATTAGACTGTATAAAGACTATATAAAAAAAATGTGAACCATTTTTTTTAAATTATAAATTTAAATGAATTCATGATAAGATAAACTCTATTTATCGAATCAATCTTATATTGAGTTGATCGTTAAAATAAAATTATATAAAATTTAACATATTACGTGAATAATAAGAAATTGAACAATAAATCCATATTGAGTATGATGAGTGAAAGATTTTTCCTGACAACTGGAAATCAGCTGCTGATAAGAAGGTTAAAGGGTAGGTTTTACATACAACTTCAGAATGGTACATGATGGCAACAATGGCAACCAAACAGTGGTCAGACAACTTGAGGGAATCCCTTAATGGTTAAGTTTTTGGGGAACTTAAAAACAATTTTAACTTTAAGATATTTTAAGACCTTGCTATCCGGTCGCTTAGTCCTCTTTAACACTTAATCCACACCTATAAAGAAAAGGTGTTTTTTTTTCATACTCTAATAAAGTTTTATTAAAGTGTTCACAAAAAGAATAAATATGGTTTTTCCAGGTGAATTGATAATATGACAAGAAATGGCATAAGTTTTAAGGTAGCGATAGCTTACATTGAATAGAGGAAGGGAAGAATGTTAAAACGTGATCTAGAAAATGTTCTGAAAACATTTGTAAGCTCTAATGAACACTAGTTCATCAGTTCTAATTTAATTTAATGAATTATAGTGAATTTTTTTAGACTAGGACTAATTACAGTAATTCATTTTAATATTAGCTTCAAGAAGTAATTCAAGGACAATTATGAAGTGGGATAGCTGTTACTACTACTAATAATAATAATTGAGTGTCGGTTGGGAAAAAAATAGAAGAAATATTTCGATTCCATATTGGATCGAATGTTTAGTAATATCGACAATTGTATTACGGGAAGAAGACAACCTTTTATTAAATATAAATATATCAATATTTTCGACCATCCCTCTTGGAGACAACAGGAACAGAAGTTAGATCACACTTTTTACTATTGTTGACAAGTTGTGTTGTCTGTTTTGACTCTTCTTCGTCTACATGATCATTTTAGATGAATTTAAGATAAAAAAGGTATAACAATTTACGCAAATATTTTCGGAAGAGTTTATTGATGCTCTTAAAATAAAACTAGCGTACATTAACTCGTTTTATCCCTAATTAGTTATCACTAATTAATCTTCCGAGGCAAAATGCTTAATGAAAATCAATATCATGTCCGGTCTAAAGTACAGGAAGTCAGTACTTTTCCTTATTGGCTACTTTTGTAAGAGGAAGTATATATTTCTTCTATAAAAATAAAAAAGTTATTGTAAGTAAAATTTATTTTCCAAATTATCATTTTCGTAATCAGAATTCCACAAATTACATGCATTGATTCATTTCAGCAAGAGCTTCAGATGTATACTTTTAATGAACAAAAATGAATAATGTTTTTTAATTAACAAATAATGTTAATAAACTCTTAAACACAAATAATGTTATAAACGTAATAACAACAAATGTTAAGTAGAAATAACTTACGAGTTTTTTTGCCAGCGTAGTTTTATCCCCTTGTGGAAGATGTTCTTCCAACGCCAAGACTACACAGTTGGCAATGATGGTGAGTAAAACTGCGTATTCAAACGGAGTGGATATATTCATTAAGGAAAGTTATTAGACATATACAATTTCAAAAATAAATAAATGCATGAGCAAATAATAAGGCTTTCAACTTATTTTCAAATTCATCTAAAGATTTTCATTAAATAAAAGATACTTTTTTAGTTCTATTAACTACAGATTAACTCTTATATATTTAACAAATAATAATTAAGCCTTTCTCTATTAATTCTAAAAAATAAAATAAAATGGAAAACGCTGGATGATTAAGATAACACAGCATTTATTATTCAATTTCAACTTAATGATTTTTAATAACGTGAATATGAAAAAAGTAATACCAAATCAGAGGTCACATTTAAAAAAGATAGACGTTTGAAACAAAAATCAATATAAAACCAATATATATATATATATATATATATATATATATATATATATATATATACTTGGGGATGTCCCGTTAGTAGAAAGAAATTTTCATAACAGTGATAGCAGACCTCATGAGCTACCAAAAAGTTCATATGAACAATGGGCTAATTTGCAGAAGAAAAGTAGGAATCCAAGTTCTGTGTATTTTTTTTTAGTAAATTGTGCTTTTGTTGAATAAGAAGCAATAACTACAGAAATATGTAATTTAAGCAATTGACAATTATTTACTGTAAACTAGATACGATTAACTTCGAATAAAATTAGAGTTTTTCATTGTTAAAGTCATTTAAAGAACATTTTTGGGTAGTTAAACTAAGCTATTTTCTTTTTTTTAAATCATGAATTATTCCCCATTTTGTTTTTTCATCATCCAACTATAGATACCTCACTTTCAGAAAACTTTCTCATTTAATAAGATTTAAGTACATATTAATTAAGCTGAGGTTAATTTGGCAAAAACTCGGGATTCATCTTAAATTGTGTAAAAAAATTATGCGATTTTCTATTCTGTCACTTAAAAGTACAAGTGTTTTCAGCAAAAATGGCTACAATTAATGGTTCCAAAGATGTTATTTCTTGTTTTGTTTTTTTATGATCTGAGATAAATTATAATAAAAATAATTGCCTAAATATACTTTTTATCTATCAAAATAAAACATTTAAAAATAATGGTTTTTCAAAATATTTTTCATGTAAAGTAGTTATGAGACCGTTTCCCTCCCCTCCCCAGATTTCTGTAATAGTTATGGCTGCGTACTTATAAGTGACAGATTTAATGTTTCTTACTAAAATTTATGTTTAAAATATTACGTTATCTGTATTTCTAAGTGGCAAACGTAATGTTTCAAACCCAATATTTATGTTTTTGTGAAAATAATTGAAGTAATCAGCAGGTTTCATTATTTTAAACGTAAATTTTAGGACTAGAAACATTAAGTTTGTCACTTATAAAGACAGATCAAATTCTATGACAGAGGAAAAACAATTACATAACCATTTTTAGATGACAGCATAGAAAATCGCATAATTTTTTTACACAACTTGAAGTGAATCTCAGGTGTTTGCCAAATTAACCTCAACATAATTAATGTGGACTTAAAGCTTATTAAACGAGAAAGTTTTTTTGAAAGTTGGGTTACTGTAGTATAATTGGATAACGTTAAAAAAAAATCGCGAATAATTTATGTTTTTTTTTTTTACAGAATTTCGCTTAATTCAATCGCCCAAAAGTCCTTTTTAAATGGTTTTGACAATAACCAACTCTAATTTTATTTAAAGTAAATTTTATCTAGTTTACACTGAAGTAATTATTAATTACCTAAATTAAATATTTCTTTAGTTATCTCTTCCTATTCAACAAAAAGCATGACTTATTTAAAAGAACACAAAACTTCGATTTCCTACCTTTCTGCAGAAAATTGGCCCAATGTATATATGAACTTTTTGGGTAACGCTTGAGGTCAGCTATCACTCTTATAAAATTTTCCCTCTGCCTGCGGGAAACCCTGTGTACTTGAATATATTAATTTTAATTTGGATTATAATATATATATTTCTATAAGTATAAATATAAACGCAGCTATTAGAGACAAGGTCGGATGTCAAAAGAACATCATTCACCTGATCGGTACCAGACGGTTAAAGTGATATGGCCACTTAATGCGGATGGATGAGAACCGCTGGCCAAAGAAAATTTATAACTATATGCGACCTGAAAGATGGAAGCGTGGAAGGAAAAATGAATAAAGGACGTAGAGGAAAGCATGGTAGCCAGAGGGCTCCGTGAAGAAGATTGGATGGACAGGGAGTAGTGGCTTTTGGGTGTTGGGAATATGACTCCTTAAGTTGTATAAAACCCAAATATATATTAAAAAAAAATACATATTCCAATGTTTAGCTTCACATATATATATATATATATATATATATATATATATATATATATATATATATATATATATATATTAAATTCGACTCATAAATAATACTTGTATAAAATTCATATATATGTCCACATCAAAAATTCATATTTAAAATTTTTATTTCTTTCTATCAAAAGGCATGAAATTCTAAAGAAAGAGATTATTTTTGTATTAACAGTAGATTTACGGAACAAAAATCATAGCCCTTCCTTACCAGATCGAAAATGTTAAAAAATTGAAAAATATAGGGAAAATTATCAACCTATTTAAAAAAACTCTAATAAATTCTAAACCGAAAGGATATTACTAACTCTAGTAGAGTAGATTTTTGTCTGGATGGAGATTTGTGAAAGGAAATGACATATATTTACGAGGACCTTCCTTAACAGAAAAAATACATTTTTAATGTGGTTATTAAATTCAAGGTCTCTATAGATCTGACAGTAAAACTCAAAGTACTAAGGAGCAAGGGGCATGTTGTGAGCGGATTTTTTTTTTTTTTTTTTTATGACGGCTTCTAAAAGGTCTCGATGGCAATATCGGCGGCAGTTGCTACACGTGGCGGCGGAGGGGAAGGAGGGGAGGTTGGTTATCGATTGTGAGATTATGGCTGTAGTTGGGGTGGGGATGTTCAATGGGGAGCCGCTTCTCAATGAACCTCCACCCCACCCCGTCGCCATGTCTTCAAGTCAAATATTATTCTGCGTCATTAGTGTCGTATTTCCGAGACCAAGTTAGGGCCACTTGGATTGCGAAGTAGCTCAAAAGCTCTCTCAACCAGTGATTTTTACCAAAGCGAAGTGAACCAATTGTCACTACTATAAACCAACATGCTATCGCCTCGTCTTAAAAAAATTCATATAGAATTGGGCATAAATATCAAGATTTATTTTACTGGTAAAATTTATAACATTTAGACCTGTGATACTGACTCCTACGTCAGTCGAATGTCCCATCAATAAGTCTGCTCGGATTGGATATCTTCAGGACTTGAAAATAGCAAATGAATAATATAAGACTGCTGATTTCATCATCTTACTATAATTTAATGTTTAAAATCTTCGGTGTCATTAGGGAGACTTTCAAAATAAGATACGTTATACTGTATAAATAGAATAGCTTTAACCGATTATTGTTTTACTAATGTAAATTATCGCAGGAGAATTTCAATACCCACTTCTGTACTAGGATTCCTTCCTAGTTCTTCTTGTAACCTTGTAAGTTAGTTCTGCAATGTATGTATGGAAATGAAGTTATTTCTAT